CGATCATATCTCGTCTCGCCTCGCAAACTTTGCCACGGTCAGCTCGGACAGAAAGATACTAAGTATCGGCACCGACCTTGTATCTACACACCTAGCTACAAGGGCGACAATGTCAAGTCTAAAATCCAAGGTTGCAGTAGAAAGCGCGTCAACAGTATCATCCAATGTAGTTTCTGCCGGAACTCTAGTTGTACTGGGCCAAGTCGGCGTTGTTTCTTCTCCTGGTTTTGTAATTGCGAAAAAGCTTTCAAAGGCATCATCTGGTTCTTCCGGAAAGGTCAACAGTGACTCTTTGGATTACAACGGCGTTGAGACAATTGTTCAAAAAGCCCAGGGTACTTCGGCTGTACAGCTATCAAGCCCAAGCTTGAGCCTCCAAACTTCGGGATCCGCCTCCACGCTTTTCAAGAATGGCACGGAAGCAATAAATACACCGGCAACAACCACGCTCGGCACGGTTTCTACCCTCGCAACACTAGTAGCACTTGGTCTTGCCACCACCGTGGCAGTATTCAGGCATGCTGAGACAGCCGCGATGGTATTGGCTATTTGTCTACTTGCATCTGTATTCTGTGATACTCGATCGGTCATTCCTGAGTCTGGAAAGGGGTTCATGAACATCTCTCTCGGTGCATCAATGTGGAACTTTTGGTCCGACATGATACTCAAGATAGATTGCAAACGTCAATGTGTAAGTTTTTCTGAGCGATACCCTATACTGTATCTAGGCCTGGAGAATATTTACTAATTTGTTTTCAATAGGTATCGAATGAAAAGAACAATGGACTGTTTGGTGCGGTTGGAGAGATGGCGAAGAAGTTTTCCTCGAGAATCTTAATCTAGATGTTGGCATTCGTGCTAGATATGATTGGAGATTTGAGGAGACGACACTTCACCTTTTTTATGGATGTGTTGCTATTTGGTGAATGGTATATCGGTTGCGGCATGATGCTTTCTGGCATTGCACTTTTTAAAGATGAGAGACACAGGGAAAGGCATCGGTGTGTAGAACTTGATTCGACAAGGTTTGAAAAGCACATTGGAGTATGGTTTGTTTTCATGGCGCATAAATACGGCATGGTATATGTTGTTTTTAATAAATGTATGTATGTATACGTAGGTATATCCTAGATGGCGATATAGAAATAATAATTCTTCTGCCGATCCTTCATCGTGGTGGAAAGCTGATCTGTGTGATTTTGGCTATGAAGCTTTGTTCGGGTGGATCAATCCCCGTTCGTATCTTGTTGTGTTCGCTTCTGTATATGTTCCTCTCTTCCCCCTCCATATCCCAATCATCTTATCTTTGCTTCGCTGAAACTCCGAACCAACTATTCCGTATCATCTCTTTCGTTTTCGTTCCTCCCGTCTTAACCATCATATTGATTCCATTACTTTCGTTTCATCTCAGCCCAGCTTATTACCTTCTCTCATCCACACTACTCCGCCCACACAAATCACCAAAACATAAACCACAACAGAAATGAAAAAGAAGAAGAATTAGAAATAGAACGAGAATATAGACATGGACATAAACAGGAACAAACAACTAAATGAATGAATGAATGAACGAATGAGTATCTCATCATTCCAGAAGACTCAAATAACACGAATAACATTTTTGAAAATGATCATATGTTAATAGACGGAAGGAAGGTATGAATACCCAACTCGGGATGCTGTGCAGGGAAAATGTATAAAGAGGAAAGAAAGAAAGAAAGAAGGAGAAGAAGAAGAAGAAAAAAAACATGGAGGTATGGATGGTATAGAGAAATACAAATATAGAGTGGCAGATGTGATATATCGCATGGTGAGAATTAAATCCGCCATAGCATTTTTCTTCTTGCTTTGGGAAAGGTAGGAGAATCTCTCTTCGTGCTGGAATATTAGGATGTATATAGTCTTGAGCGAGTTATGTGGAGGAATGGGAGAGAGGAAGGCTTGAGATGGTGTTTCTATCTAGACTGGTTGATCGAGTGATTACTTGTGATGCGAGATATTTTGAAGAGTGATTAGGTAGATGAGTAGATGAGTAGTGGGGTACCCAGTAGATGGATAGGATATATCGATACCCACCCTGGATGGAGAATGGATAAGTATATAAGCGGCCTTCAAGGAGGAGGTGATATCTTGTTCTACTCGGGATGGATGGGATGAAAATACGATCCTGCGGAATATGTTCTCCGATTTGTTAAATATTTTCAAATCCTATTTCATTCCAATTCGCACCCTCTATTGTGTGAAATTTCAGATCAGACTACGTGGGTAGGTATGTATGTATGTATGCATGCAAATCTGTGTGTTCCATCCATCCATCCATCATCCATCATGCCCAACACGCAATTCATTTCTCATCCGCTGCTCTCCTCCACCATTCCCCAGCAATACCCCGGCGTTATCCAGAACGAGGAAGTATCAAAGTACCAATGGATAAAATATGCTTTCGATTTCGAAATTTCGATCAAGGAAAAGAAACGAGTACCTTCGATACTTAATAATACAAATACAAATGACAAGTTGACCAAGCGGATCCATCCGCGAATGCAAGCTCGCTTTCCGAGTGAACGAGTAGACACCGCACCGTGGTTGTTAGTGTCAAGTTCCATTTCGCTCTAGTCATGGCGAAAGTAGAAAGTTGCTAGTACTGCAGCATCGAGCAAGACAAGAGAGATTGATTGTAAAGAACAAGGGAGAAAATAATCAAAGGTGATAGTAGTACGTAGGAAGGATAGAAGTTTGATCGCGTGGAAGGTCTCCTTGAGACGTCTGAAACTTTAGGCACTGCTGTTACAGCATCAGTCACGTATATATCAAAAGCGAAAAGATAAGATTTGACTTACAAATTCCTAGGCAGTCGGGAAATAGGTCGACGATGCATTTTTCGATGTCGTCTAGAAGAGAACGAAGAACCATAAATTTGTTTTATGCAAATTATAGTCCAACGTATCAAGGAATTGTCTTGCACCCATGGGACCTAAATGAAAACCCAAGCAAAAGCTTAACTAATCATTTATCGGTAAAGGAGTCTTTGAATAGCGTCCCGTTCTTTTTTTTAAAAAAAAAATCTCAGCAAATGTCTTTTTTCTAATTGCGCATCGAAGAGCATGGGTAGGTAGCCTCACAAATAATCTCTCTCGAATTCCGCATCCAGATGAACGGGTACCCTATCGTGATCCTCAGAGTCATTCCTCTTATCTCTTTCTCTCTCCTTGTCCTTGTCTTCGGACTTGTTTGCTAATAATTGCAACAGCAATTTATTATTTTGTGAAACGATAAATTCAATTTTATCGACTTTGCTTTCTAATGCCCTTAGTCTTGAATCATTGCCCATTATATCGCGCCAGTCTTCTTTGCTCAATTGGCCTTCTACTACGACGCGTCGAGGTGGAGATGTGGGATGAGGAGGCGCGAGTCGATATTCTGGGGCGTAGGCAACCATTGGTTCTGGGTGAGCTTGAGGTGGTAGATGGTGTTCGTTATTCGTAGTTCTTCTTCTTTTGTGGGGACGAAATCCGTTCGCATCGCCAAACTCTCCATTTGGGGCTGATTGGTATACCATTTCTTGGCCAGGAGGAGGAGGAGGAGGATGTTGAGGTTGAGGTTGAGGTTGAGGTTGATTTTGTCCCATGTCTGCGATCGGCTGCGGGGGAGCTGGACCGGCGACAATTCGCACACCTGGGCTTTGGCTTTGCATTGAGCTCTCCTGCGCAATCACTTGTTTTCTAGCTTCTTTCCTTGATTCCTCTACCCTTCTCCTCGCATCCACCTGTCGTTGCCTCTCGGCCTCCGCGTCCGAATCCTCCACCTTTAAAAATTCAATCCATTCATCCAACAATGTATTTAGTTCACCACCCGGCTTATCAGGAATAACACCATTTTCCCAATCGCACACTTGTCTCCTACGGGCTTCTACCAATCTTGCGACAGTCGCGCTCATTTGCGCCAGAACTTTATTAGTAGACTCATGAAACTGTGCATTAACTCCATTCCAAAATTGACTCTTTGTTCCTTCCTTGAAATTGTGTTTTTGAGCGATACAAGCTTTCAATGCTTGAATCTGATCGCGCTCATCCAAATTCTGCCTGGGTTTGCGCGTCGCACTTCCACCTCCAATACTACTCGCGACGGAACTTTCTCTTAATTCTCTAGCCGGAGTCATCAAACTTCGTGGGATACTAGGAGGATGCATGCGCGATTCACTGCTTGGAGTTGTCATGGTGGGAGTTTGAGTTTGTGGTTGTGTTGAAGCTGGGGTTGAAAGATTGGGCGATGGACGCGAATTTGCTGGGGTGGATGGAGGTAGAATGGGAGCGGGATGTGGCGCGGATGATAGCGATTGTCGGGAAGAAGCGTTTTGCGCCATTGCTGGAACGAGCTTAAATGTGTGAAACGCTGATGGCATAGGTAAGTTGAAGTTGAAGTTGGATCAATATCTGAAGATGTGGGAGAAGTTTTTAGATTTGGTGCAGGGCAGGGTGCGAATTTGAAGCCAGAGCGGATTCATGGTTCGAGATGAGGCTAATTTTAGAAACTAGTCTCGATGAGGAATAGCTTACCTGCTACAGTTTGATCAGTTGCAACCGGTGGTAAACGACCCGTGAAGACCATTATTGCTTATTTTGGTCAAAACTATTGATTCCTTGGTTCAAGGTCTGGGAAAGTTCCGAAAATAAATCTCTAATTTCTGGAGTATCAAAGAGATTATTAATGCTGAAAGATCGGTCCCTTTGCTTATAATCTATCTACCTCTTTCTCCCCCTCGCAATCACTTTTAGCTTCCTAATTCACTATATTCAAGGAGATTTCTCGCCTTTCCCCAAAAAATATCAATGACACTGCCCCCTTCAAATCTTAAATAATTAAGTGAAACATTTCTTATTCGTGATAAAGTCTATTCGACTACACTAGATTATAATAATTCATCGATTAGACAAACATTGGTAACAAGTTAGAGGTACCAAAGACCTGTGCTAATGTTAACCATTTCCTCTCCCCAAATTCTAAATATGGTACTCAAAATCCAACTCTCCATCCCCAGTCTTTACTTTCCTACTATCCTCAATCTCTCCCTTTCCAATCTTCTCCTTCATTCTATTCTGACTTTTCACATACCAAATCTTTACTACAATCAATACTTGAGCAAGACATAAAGTTCCCAAGGAGAAACTATTCCCAAGAACATAAGGAGAGGTTCGATATATCTGGCCTGCTACTATTCCGGCCGTGTTGGCAATAGATTGCTGAACACCGATTGCTGTTGCGCGCCTGTAATGTGGTGCTACGTTGACGTTTAGCCAGGTTATGTTGAGTCCAGGACCTGTATAGACCGCGATAGCACAGAGGAAGGTTGCGAAGAATTTTACCCCTGAGATAGCGGTTAGTTTTTCGTTGATAAATATTCTGAGGAGTGTAATCTACCTTCAGCCTTCACTGTAAGCAATAAAATATACCCAACTATTCCGAAGATGTTGGCAAAAAATAAAATCTAGAATCTTGGTTAATCTTCGCCTTGACTAGAAAATCCAAGAATGACTTACAGGTCCACGCATACTAATCTTGTCTGATACCCAAGCCAAAAACAAAAAGCTAATCGCACCCCACATATACACTGGTATAGTAAGATAGTTTGCTTGAAGTGTGTCGTAGTTCATTGCTTTTAAAATGGAGGGTAAGAATGTGCTAAACCCATACAGCAAGCAGTCTTGCATGAATTGTATGGCAGCACTTGAATGTTGGTTAGCTCAAAGCTCAATTAGACTTAAAACTTCTGTTCGTACCTGATATAAAGCTTGGGGTCTTTGAGCTCGATTCGAAATTCTTCCCATGAGAACTTTTCGGAGCCTACGTATAACGATGAGCTGAGAATTCATCAATGTGAAGAGAACCGATTACACACCCATATACTTCTGCCTCTGTATAGCCCTCAGTCTCATCATCTCTCTTTCTTCTGCGTTTAGAAACCATGCATTGCCAGGGTCTGTCGGAAGACCAAACCAAACGACTACAGCGACTACGACACTGAACAGTCCCTCGATGATATATACCCATCTGAAACTGTTAGCTCCTTTCAATTCATTTTTTCAAGAAATCAGAACAAACCTCCAGCCCGCAACTCCTGATACGCCATCCATCTGGAGAATTCCATAAGCTAAAAGACCTCCAAATGCGCCGGACAAAGCAGCGCAGCTGAATAAATATCCAACTCGCTTAGCCTGCTCTTCTCGACGATACACCATCGTCAAATACAAATTGAGACAGGGAAATAGACCTGCTTCACAACATCCAAGAATCAATCTTGTAGCATAGAGACCTCCAATATTTTGAACAAATCCGGTAAAAATGGTAGTGAGGGACCATACAGCGCAAAGTGTAGATAAAATCACGCGAGGAGTGATTTTCTTCATCAATACCGCTGCTGGTGTCTCAAAGGTCACATAAGTTGCGTAAAAGATTGATACAGCGGTAGAAAACTGCTGATCTGTAGCACGTATGTCTGTCAACATACCAGCCACTTTCACGTTGCCTAATAATCGTAAGTTCCTAATCACTTCCATGATAAATCGTGCTTACCTATGTTGGAACGATCTAAGAAACAAGACAAATATACCAACATTATCACTGGAGTGAAGGCAAGATCGAGTTTTGCGAGTAGTTTGACTTCTTTTGCTGGATCAATGTAGACATCGATATCTGAGTCGTCTGTATGGCCTAGAACCCCAGGCTTCTCGTGAAGCGACTCCATCTTCTCACTATGAGGTTGCTCCATCCTGACTGATTCGTGTTAGGTGTGGCGAAAATTGTTCAGATCAACTTCAGCACGAGGAATAGTCGATATTGACATATATCGATGGCATCATAAATTTAGACGATACCCTTATTATTATATGTATAAACATAGTGTCGAACATGGCCAGGGAAATATGATGTTACCCTGTTCACGGTCTTGCAGTCCCGCGCGCGGGGTTGGCCCGATAAGACACCTATCAGGAGGATTTATGCAAGATCGTCCTGCTATCTGCACTTATCTGTACCCATCCGTGCGAACAATGATTAATCTTCGTAAACGTAGCCGTTCAGCTAGTGGCATGTATGCAAGGATTCAGAGTTACTTCGCGTGACCGATAATGCACCCGACGGTGGAGGAACTCCGCTGTGCCATGCGGTCCCACATTTTACCAACCCCATAAATGATGTTTATCTTGTCGGGGAGATAACTGAATAATGTTAATACATGAAGAGACTAATTCTAATGCTCATCAAAGCCCATACATTGACTTTCGATATGTTTATCGGTTTTTATATATGAAATCCAAATGAATGAAGGGGATTTTTCATAGATAGTAGCCGAAACAAATAAATCTGAGGCCCTTTAGACTACCTAGTATTCAAAACAAGATACCCATGTATGACTTCAAATTTTGAGAGATAAATCACATTCATATATGCGAACCTAATCCATCGGACCATGTTGAATAATCAACTGTAGGGTCGCTGCCCATTAAGAGGTCAAACTCAATATCGTTCGTAGCAAGACTATCCCAGTCAACATTGTCTGAAGAAATGGTGGTGCCAGCTCCAGAATCGAGAAGACCCATCATGAGATCAAAATTCCCCGGAGAGGTCTTTTGGAGATCTTCTGTCGATGGTTCTCTTATAGCAGCTGTAATGGCATCTCGGACTTGTTTTGCGCATGCCCATGTTAACGATACACCATTGATAGCTTCTAATATTTGATCCAAGGGCCTTGAAACTGTGGGTTCTTTCCAAGAAGAGCTTTCGATAGATCTTTTCATCAATATGATACTCGCAGCTGATGCGAGGGTATGAACAAATGTAATAGGAAGGTGACTATAAGGATAGTTTTGAAGGTTGTTAGAGTGCATTCGAAGAAGTTTCATGATGATATCCAATGACTCGTAGCATATCTGCATATCCTCGGTTTCGCCAATTCCTGGTTCTTTAAAAGCAGCCCTTGGTGGGCGGTGAAGAAGTATCATTGCTGTATGATATTGCATGCTTAATAGTGTTAGTAAATCTCAAAATCGCAGGCATCTAAGCTTACTGTAGATGGAGTACGAAAGGAGGTACATTGCCTGCAGTCCATTTTGTCCAGTGAAGTTTCGCTGGCAAGTTCTTTAGCCATTTTGTCAAGGCCACATCCACTTCTCTAATTGAGGTCTCCAATATCGTTGGATCGGTATTTACGTTTCTATTTTCGAAGACTTTCGTAATCATAAGATGTAGTATTTTGCAAAGCTCGATTTGATGAACCCATGAAGCGACTAACGCAAGACCATCCTCATATGCAGCCTCGGAAGTGCCCTCCATTATGTATTTATTGAGAAGAGATTTCCATTCTGGCGGATAAGGTATTCGTACAGTGTCATGAACATCTGATTCCGCAGGATAAAGAGCGGGTGGTCTTCCAAAATAGAGACTCAACTGCTTATCCGCTATAAAAGCAGCCCAATACGCTCTCCGTAAGATTTCTCTGTCGATCCAGGAATCATTAGAACCTTTCCAATTGGTAGGATCGAGATGTAATCCCATCTCATGAGCAATTCGAAAAGCCATGCCGGAAAATAACCATCCCTTGGAAGTCTTTCCATGTCCAATTTCCCGATGACCAAGAAGCAAAAGGGCTTGTAAAGTTGTAAGGTTTGGAGATTCGAGTGCACTTCCATATAGGATTTCTTGAGCACGATTGGAGAATATATCGGATAGTTCTCTCTGCGTTTTACTCTCACTAGCAAGAGCACCCATTGAACAGACGGCATACATGAGAAGATCTGAGTAGTATGGCCCGGTACCAGCATCGAAGTCTCGGAGAAAATATTCCCTATACAAGCACATGTGGTATTGGTACTGTTTTTGAAAGAATATTCTCATAAGACATTTGCAGATATCACTTCGAGGAGAAAAAGCTAAATGCTCTTCCATCAATCCACCTGGTATATCTAGGGGTTGGGTAGTAACTGGCTGCTTGACTTCAAGCTGCGGTAGTATGATAGATGGAGAAGTATCATCTGGATCCTCTAACGGGCTAATCTGGAAAAAGCTAGTTGCACCATAGAATTCGGCCGAATTACCGTCTTTGAGTTTCCTGAGGTGACCGGTCCTTGATCGTACAGGAATTCTCTGGGTTTCTGGTGGACTGGGCTCTGGAAAAGCGGAAGATTGCTTTGACTGTCGCACCAGATGATTCGTGGAAGCACTGAAATCAGCTAACATTTCGTCTCGCTTGGAAGCATCTGCGGCAATGAGTTTGGTAATAAATAGTTCTAGAGAGGCAATTTGGCCTTCGAGGGCTTGTACATATCCTTTTGGCACAGGCCTAGACTCGAGTAAGGAAATGAGCAGGAGGCACTTTACTCAATGACATGCATATAAGCATACCTAGATTTTTCCGATTGCAGATAAACACATTCATGATTTCCTTTCCGACATGCAGGACACGGCTGCGTACGGTCACATTTGATCTAAATCATATCGTCAAACACACATTTTTTATAAGGACATATCCGCTGAAATTACTTACCCGCCTATATCGGCATCTCTCACATCTGTAAAGTAGACATTATTAGTACTTCCACGTGACCAAATCGACAATTAAAACCTACGAAACCTTTGATGCTTTCTGTTCAGGCGATTTACCTCCTGAATGACTCATTGCGGGGATATATACTGCGACAACTTATGTCTTCTCGTAGGGCTGAGGTTTCGATGCAGCACAAGCGTGTAGACTAAGGCAGTCACGAAGATCCGATATCACTAAACTCAAAAAGATGAAGACTAACGTGTTAGTTTATGAGGGAAGCCGACCCAAGTGTATCAAAATTGTATCTGTAGCGTTAACGTTCTATTGTATTCATATTCAGGTGAGGGTGGTGATGATGTGTGAGGATTCGCCTGATTCTACTCAGCTTGAGCTCCGATACGCCCGCCTAGGCCCGAGCTAATGGTTAATGTGTTTATCTCGTTTTATGATAGACAGGCTCGCTCTGCCATCCAACTGCCCAACACAGTCAATTATGAGAGAACTAGGTAGCCACGAGTTGAAAGCTTTACAATGCTTTTACTCAATTTACATATTCTTTAGACTTCACGTTGAACGACTCCAATACCATTCGGAATCGAAACTATCACTAGGTAAAAATACAATTGAGCACCGAAAGTCGAACTAGAAATTCTATTTGGCTATCGATCTTCGACTCCGGAAAGTGGAATAAGGCCAAATACTTGATTTATGAAATGTACATTGGAACCATTAAAGAAGGTTATTGGGTCTTTGAGCCCTGGGAATTAATTGACTGAAATCTATATTGGGACGTTCAAGAGTCTTACGAGGATGCATTTCTAGTCAGACAAACCTCTATATCAACTCAATTCTTAACAAGATCACCGTCTCTGCAGTCTAATACTAGCATGTGGCCCGGTGCATGACCCATGACGGTTCCCTCCAAGCCAGCGCTGACAACAGCGTACTGCGGGGTAACACCACATCCCCAAAACACCGGAACCATTTCGTCGTCTAGAATCAGTGGGCTCCCATTATCATTGACAGAAGCATCGCCCCAATCTGGTTTTGCAATGTCACGAATTCCCAATTTCTCAACGGCATCCCACCCCCAAGCAATTGGTTCCCCGTGAGTTGCTAGAAACGGTCTTGTGATTTCTCTAACTTTCTCGATATCATCCTTTCTGTATGGCCGCATAGATACCACGAATGTGCCCCGGTCAAAGACTCCAGCAGGACACAACGATATGTTGGTCCTGTACATCGGTACATTTCGATGGTGTCTGATGTGTGATGGCGTTAATCCACCATCAACAAGAGCGCCTTCAAAACTGTACGAGCATCCAATTAAGAAAGCTACATGATCGTCTGTCCAGTGCGCCTTTATGTCATCAATATGATCGCCCAAGAGCTCGCCATTCTCGTAGACCATATATTTTGGAATGTCGGTTCGGATATCGATATTTGCAGCCAGATCTTCATCTGCCACTCCCTCTATCCATGATTCGAGAGAATTATAGGATCCTACTGTAGCAGATTTGGCGATTAAAGGGCATGGTACTGGATTTCTCTTGCAGAATCGCTCAAAGTCGCCAGCGTAGCGCGAAGGGAGAACGATAAGATTAGCTTGGAGATGGGATGGCGCAAGAGCTGAGGTCTGTCCTATCTCGCATTTGCGTGCCGATTCTCGAACACTTGCGCCGGACATTGTTAATGTAAGATGCTATGTGTAACAATGGAAATTGTGTTAACGTGTGGAGGTTGATGAAAGGTTGACGTAGTATTTTCATCAATAGCTAACAAATATATGAAGAGTACATGAGAAGGAGAAAATTGGAATATACCTACCTAAATACCCACCCAAATATTTGGTTCTGATGACTTTTCTCGAGCTGAGAAAGGCACATTTATGAAGACGGAGTTCAATCTGCGCTTCAAGCAAAAAGAACATTCTGCCACATGCGGGTAAAGGCGGTAAGATCGGCCTGCTATTTTTCTTATCATCGACTGCAAGCTATGCAGTCTTTTCCCATGTAACAATCAAACGTGAAGCTATCATAATCCAGGAGGGAAAAAATCGGGTTTTGTATTGAATCTATCGTCATAGAATTAGTCATCTATCTACGGCAACTAAAGGCTCTGTTTTGAAATCAGTCAAGGACTCCCGAGGTCCTGATGGTTGATTCCTCGTGATCATTTCGGTTTTTGGATGGAGAGAATGCTACTAGACTTTGTACTCAGTCGAGTTTCGGAAATCTACAAGCAGGACTGTTTATCAAAGCCAGGAGACACAATGTGTTCATATGAACTGCAGCTATAGGTTTAGCTGATGGTGTAGCAATTTTTATGTGAAGGATAAAGATGTTGACAAATACCACAGGAGGTCCTGTACAGCCGGCTACTGATGGGAGTTGAAGTTTGGGCGACCAGAGGAGTATAGTCAATGTGAGGTGCCTGTTGAATATGTATAGTCTGCATACCAACAAGAAACCATTTCTTGAGGATATATATATACTGCCTATCTACACACAAATATGTCTGCGGTTGACAAACGAAGACTGGTGGGCGTTTCGATTGTCTCTTTAAGAGGGTTTTCTGTTTTTGTTATTTTATGCCTAAGGAAGTCTCAATATTCTATCTTCCCAATTTTTCCTTCTGGTGCGAATTTGAGATCAAACAGCGACATGATGGATACTGCAACAATTTTTTGAGAAGCGGATGGCCTCTTGGGGGTATTCTTTGCCACTGTCGATAATCTTAAGCAGCGACAGCGCAAGGTATTTTTGAGCATGAGTACGGAAAGGCAAATGCTCTCGTTTCCCGCCTTGATTGTACAAAGGGTATATTGAAACGAAAGGAGGCATGGAAGTTGGCTTTCTCCAAGGCAGAACAATCATCAAGAAAAAGCCATTCGTCCAAGCTCTAGCTTTTGAGACCTTTGTCCTTATTATTGGTCGTAATCCTGATCTGGTTCAAATGAGTCTTTGTTATGGACGAGTTCACTCAGCTTGGAGAGTGAAAGGCGATGAGATGATGACATTGCCTCCTCTGGGATTTCTGGTGGCCAAGTTCACAGATTGATAGCATTCAAAAATATACCATGAATGCTTTTATTGTATTTGCTACATATGTCTTCTTATCTATTCTACTAAGAATCTCAGATCCTCTATATATCCGAATCCAAACACCATAATGTTGTACAACACAACTGGTGTACAGCCTGTACCCGAAGTTTTCAAATACAAAGTCCGAATATTTCGTGTGATATTCCCTGGTAATTACCGCTCGCACAAATCCTATTGAACCCCAAACTCCTTCCAAGGTATCACTAAGGGAAATAACCAACTGATTCCTGAACAAGTCTACAAACAAACGCACCAATTCGCATTCCCCTCACTGCATATTCCACTCGCGAGGCTTCCACTCATCATCCATCGTGACTCCACTTTTGATCAACCCACACTCCAGCGTTCCCCATTTCTCGAGATAAACTCCTCTTCCTAATGTGATAGTCATTTGAACGGCCTTTTCAAATCCATCTGCATTGCGATAATAAGGTTCGCCTTGACCTCCGGATTGTTGATGTTGCCATGTATTCCGACCATCGCCGCCTTGGGAGTACTTGGCCCCTACCATGTCGTTGACGACTTGGAGGAGTTGAAAATACGCCGGGGAACCGGGCTGGTCGGTTATCCATTTCGAGTTTGAAGATGTGGATGGAGAAGACGCCGTTGATGCAGTTGGACTTTTTGAGGCTGGCTTTGAGGTGGCGTCATGATGGAGATCCGCTAATGATTTTATTTGGGTATTTGCTAACGAATCTTCCAGATCTCGCTTTCTATACTCGCCCACATTTGAGTGGGTAGTTGAGGAACTGGATTCTTTCTCCTCTTTTTCCTTTTCTTGTCGCAATTCTTGCTGTCTATCTGAGGACCCTTTTACCTCAGCATTGTCGCTTTCATATCCTTTACTGGCATCGGCATCAGTTTTTGGGTGATCCATAACATGACCTTCATTCTGGGCCTTTTCCTCCTGTTTTTTTATCTCTTCGGCTTTATTGTCAAGTGTAGCTTGCTCTCTCATTGCCTGAGCTTTCACCTGTTCTTGCATTGCTTTTGCATGCGCTTGCGCATTCTCGTCATCAATCGCAGCCTGTTTTTTGTTTTCTTCGGCCTTTCTCCGGGCCTCTTCTTGCTCTTGAGCTTCCTTTTCCATCTTCAGCTGCTCCTCGTTATGCTTGCGTGCTGCTTCAATATCTTCCGGTCTGGTCTGGTCCGTAAAACTGGCTTCTACAGTATTCTTCTTCCGGTATAGAACGATCAAATCGTCAATGCTATTCGCAACATCATAAATATATCCACGTCCAGCTCTATCTAATCCGTCAAAGTCATCCCCAACTGTTGTCATTAAGTGGCGTGGCTCGTTCATCTCATATCCAGCCATGATCAATCGATCGTACATATCACAATCAGTATGATAGAAAGGAATAGTAGTATCGAATCCACCGACCGATTCAAAAGCCGCTCTGTTTACCAAGGTTAAGTAATCAAATGCAAAGAATCTCATTGCCCATGGCTTGCTTCGATCTGAGGAATTCGGGTCCGGTCCAGGTGATTGTGCCGATTTCAGAACTTCGATAGCATGTTGGTAGATAGTTTTGTGCCCAGAGTAATCATCAGATACGGAGATGTCCTCTTCGAAAGTGATAGGAACGATATCCATATGACTCCAGAAATATGTCTCGAGGTCCTTTTCGATAGCGGTCCAGAGAAAGAAATTCTGTAACTGAGCAAATGTGTAAAGAGTAGGTGTAACTATGACATTCACACCTAACATATGAAGTCGAGTGTGATTTAGGAAAAAAGGATTTTGGAGGGAAAGACGGCCAAATTCGTTAGATCTCATCGTACCGGTGTTTTCAACGACATATATATCTTCGGCTGGCCAACCTGAAGTTATCCAAGAGACAACCGTTTGTTGGAGTAATGGCCAGTTCCTAGTGAAAGCAATGAAGAGGGGCGTTTTCTCTTTTACGTGAGGGGTCGGAGGTTTGTTCCATGGGGGGATGGGAGGTAAGTCGGCGGCGGAGCGAGCGTTCATTGCTAATGGGAAATTATCTTTGATCTTCGGATTGAATTCTTGCTGTTGCTGGACCTCTTGAGATGAACTACTATGCTGTTCATTACTTTCTGCTTTTGGAGCTTGTGTCTGCTCCGAGGAAAAATGTTGTCTTGATTCCGAGGCCTCATTTTGAGCCATCTGGGATTTGGATGGCTCGGCTACTTCATGTGGCGTATATGTTGGTATTGGTGAAGGCGTCAATACCGTTCGTGAATCTGTCACTACCACTACTTCAGGTATCGTCGATGTCTTGATTTCTTCCACCGTACTCGTCGTCGAACCCGTCGTCGAACTCGTCGTCGTCACCCGTTCCCTCTCAACCTCGTTATCGTGCAAAATCTCGTTGTTTTTCTTAACTTGTTCCCAAACATCCTGCGGTATGATCATCTCCTCCCCATAAACCACACTTTTTGGATTTCTCGGCAGGAAGAATTTCCATGTGTAACAAAACAACAAAATAACCCCAAACAACACTAAGGTCCTCAATCTTTGAACCACCATTTTCCTAAATCTTTCTTCCTCCAAATCTCTCTTCTATAACACGCCACGAATAATTAGAAAAGAATGAAAATATTATGCAATCCGATGTCAAAATGAAGATATCGAAATTGGGATTGGAAAGTCATCGTTCTATAGAAACCAAGGTTGGTTTCCTTTAATACACAGCATGAGGTTGGGAAAGTCTACCCCGTACATTTTGCGCGGAACAAAACACCGGATCCACCTGTGTCGGAGAGTGGAGTATTTGTAGTCGTACTACTTGCACGATATACAGACGGATAGATTGCTCGCCGAAGTAATAAGCGCTTTAAGCCCATCTTTTCGTCATTGTCTAACCTGCTCCTCCAAAATTCAATTAGGACAAGTATCCAGGTAGCGATATAAAATCTACGGTGTGTGCAACGAGTAAACATCGCGCATCCAAGATTTACATCATCAATAACAAGGAGATTACGATAGGCATCACCCAATAAAGTCTATCAGGACCTGCACATGCAAGATTTCGTTCCCATAGAATCATTTACATCCAACTGTAGTTCTAGGTCCTTCCAGGCTAGCACCCTACAAAGTCTAGGTTCAGTACCTGGCGCTAAGCGAGCCACGCAATCGCAACTCGCAAGCCCCTGGCGCCCCTCTAATTTTCAGGGTCACGAAACTGCCGCGAATATGTGGATACCATGCCCTAAAACTCCCTAAGATATCAAGCCTATGACATGCGATGGCAGGCTTGGCATAATATATGTGAGAAGCAATTCACGCTACTTTGTACCAATGCAACAGATGCAAGTGAAAAAAGCAAGGTGAATCACTGAAGATATGCTCCACCTCTAGGAAAATTTGAAGCCCAAATTAGATTTTTTTGATGTGCGACTCTGTGATATGTGCTAGTGTGTGATCGTCGCTGGTTTGATTTTCATTGCGGTGTTGATCGATTGTTGGGATGAAACAGAGTGTTTATTTGCGACAGGTGGATTGACGTTAGGAGAGAAAAGATAGACTGATTACGACATAGGTCTGTTTGTTTCAAACTGTAAAAGTAATTATCGCGGGGATCATCCATTGAAATCTAGAAATTTGATTACTTTTTCGTTTCCTTCCGGGATGGGGAAATGGTATCTTCGCTGCGCTATGCTATGATGTTCTGCTAATCTATCCCTTTCAAACTTTCTTCTAAAATTATAACTGTATATCCAATCAACAATTTACAAGCAAAGATTAATAGCTCTACAACTCCACTGCTACCAGTACGCACTTCAAACATGATTCCTCTTTATTGTCATCTGAAAATTATTGACTCTCCTTCCACCTTCGATATGTCTCATCCTCACCCTTCTTTGCGGGCTTCATCTTCCTCAACCTAACACCCCATCTCTTTCTCCACTTGTTCCCCGCCCGCTTTATCCTCTTTCGCGGATAATTAACAGGACTTTCACCACCCGCAAAGATCGCAGCATCATATAAGAATGCCCCGAAGATAGCACCCAGAATTGGCGCACACCAATTTCCCCATATCCAATATACATCAGTGAAGAGGTCTTCTCCATAGCCAAGTGCTAGGAGCGCAAGTCTTGGACCAAGATCTCGAGAGGGGTTCAAAGCAGCGCCAGTATTGTAACCAAAAGCCATACTGAGAACGACGATCACGAGTCCCATCACAAAGGCTGACATACCAGCTCCTGGAGGCGCGTTCATGTCGTCTCCTAGTGCTAGGACTGCGACTGCTAGGATGGCGGTTCCGACGAATTCGGTGAAGAATGATGTACTAGCGTTAATCCAGGCATACCTGGGGTATGTAATAAAAGCTCCCATGGTATCGCCGGTTTTCAGGTTGGTCCCTCCATATTCGACGATGTTGGTTTGGTAGAGACCGAATGCAATCAACGCTGCGATGAACGCTCCTAGTATCTGTGCAAGAATATACATTGGTACTTTGCGGAGAGGAAAACCTCGATATATCCAGAGCATTATGGAAATGGCAGGGTTAAGATGAGCTCCGGAAATACCACCAGCAATGTAGATACCAAGCATTGATGCCAAACCCCAAGCCCAATCGGTAGTAGCTTCGTTTCCTGCAGGTGATGAATTTTTGCCTGATGTTACCACCACTAGATCCGCACAAAACCCGAGTGTAAGTTGGCAAGTGACCTAGAAACTTGTCAGCAGGGAAAAGAGTTTGTTTTAAATGAAGAAGTACTCACGGCCAACAACTCCGCAAGTGGTTCTCGAAATCGTAATCGTATAACGGACCAGTGTGTATGAAGATTGTGAATCTCATCATCGTAATTAGGATCGTATGCGACCAACGGTATCTCTTGGCTAACCCATTCTCCATCTAGGTCATCCGGGCCCGCAACTTCCGTTGTTACAGACCCTTGATCATCATGGTCCGAAAGATTAGGGAAAGGCTCATTCTGTGAGTGTTGCGAATTCTGCGAAGGTCGACCATCAAAAGAGAGGGGAGGGCGTGTTGGAGGACGTTCTGGAGATGCCGTGTCTGTGTTTGTCGGTTTATCGGCTAGATCCTCTTCTTCAATAACCTGTGACGGAGCAGTCAATGGCTGCTGCTGCGATGTCGTACTTTGTAAATTTGTCGGCGAAACCAACCCATGTGCTTCCATGAGGTTGTTTTCACGTTGTTGTCTAGCATTTTGAAGTGCGGTTGAGATTCTGGACAATTTGAGGGTTGGTTCGATCCTACCTTGTTCTAAATCTAAATCCGCCTGGGTTTGAGGCTGCTGCTGCTGCTGCTGCTGCTGGGCCATGTTGATTTCCGTGCGTGACGGAATCATACCTGGACGTACCACACGGGGTAAAGGCTTGGCCAAACCCCATACTGGCCTTACATTCTCGGGTTGAACATAAGCAGGGTTTAGATGGGCGTACCCTGGATCAACGTAGGGCTGGTTCTGCATCATGGTTTCGATTGGTGCAGGCCCAGCCAATGTAAAGTTATCTCCGCCTCCAACATCGGCCCCTGAGGTTACGGCTTCTAATGCAACAGTTGGTCTTCTTCGGATGGAGGCTCCTCGTTGACGACTTGTCGTGCTCCTGCGTGGACGGAGACCTGAAGCTTGAGTGCGATCGGAAACGCCGCTAGGACGAGGTTCTCTCTCCGTAGTAGGAGGAACGGCTCCTCGTTCAGGAATGGAACGCATTCTATCTCCACTTTCTCCAGAAAGAATCGAGGTCCCTCTCCTTAAAACTTGTCTCCTTGAAGATAGATCATTATTTTGAGGCACCTGGCCAGTCAGAGTTCGTCCGCGTCTTCGGGTATCTGGTGAAAGTTGATTCCGCCGTGTGGGTAGTGTATCGAATCTTTTCAGAGGCTTGACCCCCTGTTCGCCTGTAGATTGTGCTCGACTGGATCCAGCTACTGGACTCAACTCACGTGGCGTCTCCTCTCTCGTACTAGGTAGATTTGGCAGACTAGTCATTCCATGCTCATGTTCATTATTTCGTCCTCCACCAGCCTCTATGCTGCTCGTGGGCTTAATCTCTTCGTCCGCCATGGCCTATTACTAATCAAGCTCACCACAGATGAAATTTCAACGTAAGGGGTGATTATGCTGTGGCACTCGACTAATGCCGTAAATCGCAAACAAATAGAGTTTTATAACAATAACATTACTAATGAATGCAAAAAACAGAAGAAAAGAGGAAATCAAAAGAATGCAGATCTGGAGATTGTACGAACCATATGATATCCCAATTCTGCACCGCGGACAGATTTTGGACCGGCATTTAAACTTTTCACCAAGCTTTTCTGACGCCTCAGCGAGGATCCGCCGTAAATCCACAACTTTGTAGACCGAAAGGGCCTCGAGTGCTGTGAGAAAGGGGTCAAGCATCATCGCGAGCGATATTATTCCATGTGAAATTCCACTTTTCTGAGTATTTATGGAACGTTTATGAGCGAAATGTCGGGAGATTCAAGGAATACTGATGTTGTGAGGTGGTAGGTGGAGCTTTTATTTCGTCAGTTCATCAAAACCAAAATGTTCTAGGTCATATGTGGAATGGTATTGTCAGGGGATTAGACAAAAATTGTCGAATCACGTGTTGAGATGTTATCTATCTTCGAGATTTGATCGGGAATTCGGAACTTTTGTAGGGGCTCAAGGATTCAAAAAGCATCCAAAAGAAAATTTCAGATCTCAACGTCATTTTGTTAGTGCTGAGAGTACTATCTATCTCGTTTCTACCCAGAGACGGGAATATTCTTTTAGCCCTCATTGTCCTAAAAGAAAAAAACATGTTTGGCGCGTCTTCTACAGACAATTCCTTCGTTTCCGAACTGTCCGAACTGGCGAGCAACCGACTGGCTAACAACTCGTTGGTGACCTAAATGTAGATTGTGCATATTGTGAAACATTGGACCTGCATTAAACAATCCATCTTCGATCCAATCCAAGGCCAAATACCTCGTTACTCGTAACCTGTAGGATCGTCGCTCTATTTCCTCGTATTCCCGCCCGATAGAGCTCTTCAAGTCAAACCAACCGAGTCGCCAAATTTTCTCGACATTAATTGCGCCCCATAACTCCACGATCAAAACTCCATGGCCTACATCATAGATATCCTCCAAGTTTTCACGAAACACCCACACTCTTACAGGCCTCTGCCAAATCGGGTATCTCGTCAGCACTCTTACTCGCACCACCCCATTTAATGGTCCCCATCTCATCTGTGGCCCAGCTTCCACCCACCACCCATCGATTCCCACTCGGATCAACCTCTCTTCCCCAATTCCCCTCCTGTTTCCCCAGTTTCTGTCGTGCAATCTCGGTCCATGGATTCAGCAAATGCCACGTCGTGCTTACTCCCAATCCCCAATTGGCATAGATTTCCCGATCTTCATCGACGACTACTTGAACTGACCATGCTCCCCCAACTTGCTGCACCCATTTATCCGTTGCTTCCTTGGAGTTGTGAGATATGGCGATGAAGTGTAAGTTCTGATGTTTATTGGCTAAGCGACGGAGTTCGATGAAGGTCTTTTCTGCAACTGAATGGGAAAGGGTTAGCCTTGAGACCAGTCTGATTCTCCAAATTTTTATTGACGAGAACGGGTAACACGGCTCATAAATCACAATACGACGACTAATCAGCAAACTCACAAGCACATCCACAGCACCTCAAAAACACGAGCACGCAAGCCTTCCCATCCCCCATGGGTAAGATCAATTTCCCTGTGTTTGGCGCCTTCGTTCCCACTATCGGTGCAGGGGCAACTTCTACTATCGCCGGTGGTGGATTTCCCCATGATTTCCAACTCTTTGGGACATTGACCTCTGAAGTCATATTTGAGAAAGTGTCTCCCCACGTGGCATTGCTGTTTCCAGACTTAGGGTTGATGGATTTCTGGTCGCCATTATCGAGATTTGTGATTGAAAAGTTGGAGAGAGTGTTTGATGGGAGACCAGCTTTGCGAAGGGCAATCTTGGTGGTGAGTTTACTGAACATAGTTTAGATTGATGAAGAGGAGGCTGTGGTTGGGTGTCGTATAGTGGCTCACGACACTATCGTGGTGGGACAAAAATGATACAAACTGGACTGGAAATTACAAGTCAAGAATTGCATGAGGTAGATATACATCCATCCATACGTCTCGGTCAAATACAGACAAGTGCAAAGTACTCCTTCGTACAAACTCTCAGGCTTGCATGAAACTCCAAGTTGTCGCAGGTCCGCTCAGACCTGGGCGTGTTTGCGTTGCTATGATATCACGTGAGACAAGCACGTTTTTTCGTTCATTCAAACTTGTTTATCGTTACCAGTATCGATTTATTATGCTTGGCTAGTCAAGAACCAACGTATAGCAGGGGTTTTGACGAAAGCGGTTTTGTCAGAATCGAGAGAGATCACTTAAGTCGTAAGTCCATTGCATGGAAAGCGGTTTCTCTCCCCTTTCCGAGAATGATCACTTTCGACAATAAATCTAAAGTATGTGGTCCGCCCATAAAGCTTGGAACAGAGAGCGGAGACTCTGCAGAAGGTGTGGTGGTGACACTGTCAATATCAACAGAATGGATCAGAAGTTACGAGTAGTATGATGTTGATTAGTTGGCAGGATAGGGCACGAGCGTGCCCTCTCCCTATCCCAGGACTCCTCATCAGTTCGAAACGGCTTCATGATATCATACCATAGCTGCATACTTATATGATGCATGATGCAATGATACTCAAAAAGCTGACCGCTGTATTACATATTGGAATAGAAATGACTTCTTGATTGGTGACTAGTGTCCAGAAGCTCTTCACTGCCATTTGTGGTAGTTCGTACCTCAGTATTACCACAGTGCTTCAGACTTGAGGAATTTCTATGCTTCGATGTTTACTCTTATCAGATTGTCTTCTGATGTATGGTCTTTCGTTTATGTATGGCCAGGTTGTGTAAATCGTGAGGAGATCTGGGCTGATACGCAGTGAAACATGAAGAAACAGGTAAGCCAATATCAGGCGGCTTAACGGTGTGTGAGGTTGAGCAACAGGAAATAAGTATTTGAGCAGCCGCCCCTTCCTCGGGCTTAGCTTTGCTATACATACAAGTAGGACAACCATCATTACTGCATTGGTGTGGTCAGAGACAGTGATTATATTGAGGCGGGCGAAGTTCTCAAATGGGTAGCAGATTCTCACGCCTGAAGTCTCAAAGTTTACTTCCTTCTTTCAACTCTAAATAAAGATCAAAAAGGCATCATTTCGCAATCCTGAGATCACGATCAAAGGGAAAAAAATATGCCACAGTCACCAGATAGTGCTTGTGTTTCTGGCTGCTTGAATCATGATGGTAACAATAACATACGTGCGAAACTCGTTGCATGACCAAGATCGCCAACAGCGGTACATCATCAAGCGCCTGTTTTTGATATTTCATCCCGAGCCTTTCTATCACACCAACACCCTTAGACCTACCTAAATGGCCAACCAGTCCTCAAGCTGCAACTTCTTTCTCACTAGCTACTATATTTCATATATTGTTAGATGTAATATTATTAGCACTGTCCACGTTGTTTCTTCTTTTTGGACTTATAATTTACCATGAGGATCAAGTTCCTATCGCCGAGTTCCCGCGCGAGACCGACGCAATCATATTATATGGTTTTAACTGGCAGTATGCCTTTCCTGCAGTTTCTACCTATCATATCGTGGTTTTCTATCGTGAACGCAATATTCATGTCATCCGTCATGGGTCCGCCGACTACCAAATCTGGCCCTGCTGATATATGGGGTAATGTCAAGATTCCTTATGTCGAGAGGTATGAAAATGGCTCAACGCCTGACAGTAAAGGATGGTTTTCAGTCAACTCCGCCAACAGCATTTACTCATCACTGGCGGGAGTACCAATTTCTGGTCTAGATTCCTTATCTGTCGACTCAAGTTACACTATGAACTTAGAATCAACATCTCTATACCTTGATTGTCCAGTGCTACACGACTCATCCCAGAGGATGCCTAGCAATGTAGCGCGCTTTGCTCACAGCGGACTGGATGACCATGTTTCGTTCCGAGGACTTCTCGGCCCCTTGCCTAATGTCGTCGATCCAGTCGGGGCAACGGAGAGCGGCGCTCCGATTTGGTCCTTTGACAATAACATTGAGAGAGTCAATCTGGACCCGACTTATCTTACTCCACGAGCGTTTACTTATTTCTCATGGGGACCCACCGCTGGTTCCAACTGCACCATCACATCTACATACGTTGAAGTAGCTGTTACATGTCGCTCATCATAAACCTGTGTGATCACCAAAATACGCCGCTCCAGACTCTCACGTCCGCCTCCTGCTTACTCGCTTCTCGAAACCAAGATGAAGCCGTTTCTCAATCCATCGGGAACGAACAATAACTGGTGGCTGTTCTCTGCCCATTTCGTCAACTCAATAAATGACTACGGAGTATCCGACACTACTGCTATTCAGGGTTACCTTCTCAATCCGGGTGATCCTCTGTCGTCTTCCATGGGCATTAATGGAGTGCATTTTAAGCCGCCGATTGTTACCAATGATGTCTATGCCGAGCGGCTTGGTCAATTAATGAACACTTACTGGGCTTGTATGAATGGATTACGTGCGATTTCCAGTGGCATGACTGACTACAACGACCGCTGTCATGCCAGGTGCAAACTTGAGTGACGAGAATGTTGTCCGGGTCAACTCCTCCTCGGCCGATGTTGTCCGTAGCGGAAGTATCGAAGTGATCAATGCCACATCGGCCGGGTGATAGCTCTATTAGCCGCATCCACGGTACTAATTCTAGCCTCTCTAGTAAACCCCATCATCCGATTTTTCCTCGCCCAAGGCCCGGACATTGATTCGAATATTAGCAGTTTGGCAACAAGGAACAATCCATGCATTACGCTACCAATGGGAAATCTCTAGGTGCATCAGAGAGATCAAGGTTGTTAAGAGATATGAGGGTTATGTTTGGGGAAGTGAATGGCACTAGAGAAATTGGGAAATTGGCGATAGCTAGTTGTGGGAATGGCGAGGGGCTACAACCACGAGCTATGCGTGCCAAAAAAGGGAGGCTCTATAGAGAGGCCGAATCAAAAACCATGATTTCACTCCCGATTAGTCAATCAACTTAAATATTCGTCCTTCTTATTGCCATTTTTTCTGTCACAGCTTTACTTCAACTCCTTACTCTCTTCTACTCTTGCTTTCCATAATATATACCTCCCAGCCACTCTATAGAGATACCGGATAGCTACACACACACTCGTGATCTTCATACAGTATTCTATTGCATCCAAAAATTTCAGCGGCAAACTGGTATATAGCAATCCTCCATCATTGATAAGATTTCCATAAACAACGACATGAGCCAGAGCTTCCAAGCAAAACCTTCAAATCGATATACCTCAAATTAGCGACCTCAATCTGGCAGCATATAGGATGATCTGATCACTTACACTCCTCCAATGACAAACATGGTTGAAGCAATTCCAAACTTCCTTTTCCTCTCCATCTTCAAACCCCGCGAGCTCCAAATTGCGGCCCCCCAAAGCATGAATTCGTTCAAAAACACAAATATTGTCGAGGTAGCAAGCCAAATGTTCCAATACGAAGAACTTATTGACCCAATACATCTATCAGAAGTTGGCATAAATGTGCAATTCGCTTCCCCATCTTTGTTCATTAGACATGGCTTGCATATAACATCAAGCGTCGAATAGATTGCCAATAAGAGGAATTGATTCAACATATAGATCAAGAAGGAGAGGAAGGTTCAAAGTTTGAGTGGAAGATTTATACTGTCGAAATTGTGCACATAGTGGATGTAGAGAAGAAATTTCAAGCCGAATATTTGACTAGTGATTGTTGTTACATAGCTCGCATGCTTCATCTGGTATTAGCACATAAGAACGATCATTTCTGAGTAACCAGTACTGGTCCAGGGACTGAAACTCTCTCTTGAAATAGATTGCAAGACGAATGCAAGTATTAAAAAATTGTTTGGGCGTTTGGCTTACCAGATTCCGGCTACTCATATGCTGTTCCTCACTGGTGAGATCTCCAAGTCAAATAAAGTGTATATTTCTGGACGAACCCATTACTATGGACATGAGGAACATCAACCATACCAGTAAATACAGCAATTTATCTTGCCAATATGAATATATGTTAGAAAATTTCCATTTACATGCCATCAGCGGGGTCAAACGAGGGAAACATACAGTCGCCTGACCCCATGAATATATAGTTGCATTCACTAGGAAAGCAAGCATAAAGAATCAAGCTAGACAATATAATGATTGAAGGCGCTGCATGTCCAATTATCTTTATAATTTGTTGATTCATTGTCATTTGGAAGGCTGGGGGTGCTGAAGTGATATAGAAATGGCGAAAGATTTGAGCCTGACGTATGTCCAGGAAATTATATTTGGGTTGGTGGGTGAGAAATGGGGGAAAAGATAGTAGGAAAGTTCATTGTCTTCTGGGAACCTCAAGGATTAAGTGAAAGATGCGAGGATGATAATATATGCAAATGATGTAGTGATAGTGATCTAATTGGCCACTCTCTCCGGTATATGCATGTAATATCGAAACAGGATTCACTCAAAAAAAGATCGTAATATTCAGAACCCCCGTGCGGCTCCGCCTAGTTGTGGCATACCAAATTGACTTTCAATCCTTTCTAACATGAAGTAAAGATAAAGAACATATCGTTCGAGATTTCATGAATTGTTATTTGAGAATTTAATGCTTTAAAGTCCGCCATTCTAGTTTGAACAATTATAAATCATTAGTTGATTGTAGACACAGATTTGTTTGGTGTATTCTGAAAAGTGCTACGACTAAACGGAGCCGCAAGCCATTATTCTTTCCATGGAAAAATCATTCATAATTTCAAACAAATTATCCGTATATTTAAACCTTATATACTCTAATAAATTCTACCCTAAAATTAAAAATTAAACTCAATAAACATTCAGTGCCTCTCTCAGATTCGCCATCCACATATATGGCTGAGATAGTCCATCACTACTCCCCGCATCAAAGTACTCCCATCCATTAACACCTCCAAAATTGGGATATTTATTTCTCAAACTTTTGATCGTGTTCTTAAGCGTATTGATCGGAACCCATCCACTTGCGTCATTTCTTGCAGCCGAAGCTAGCATTACTACTCTCGAGGGATCCCAGCCAGCGCCGATAATAGCGTCATAATCATTAGTGTTTCCTGTAGAACCCCAACCATTGGTGAATTGAGCGTTGTAAAACGATATCATCGGTGTGCCGGTGTCTGGATCTCGTGCTTGGGCGTCGAGATCAGAATAGGAAAACCCCGAGAGACTTCCGCCATGAGATAGAGCTGAAGCTACTGGTGACATCGTTATGTCAAAGTCGGGACCCATGTCGCTGTAAAGCTGTTTGATTAGACGAAGAGCTACAGTGATATCCACGAATTGCTCAACGTCAATGTCTATACCATTGAGATTGTATTTCCTGATGAAATTATTGAGGAGAGGGTCGTAGTATTGGTGGAACTTGAGAAGTATCAGCAATGCATATAAGACAAAGATTATGGAGTGTCAAGCTACATCGTCGTCATCTCCAGTAAAATAGTTCCAAGTTCCCGGAGCAGCGCCACCCATCATACACGATACCTTTATCCCTGCTGCTTGAAGAGCCTCTACCTGATCCCATAACTCATCGTACATTGGAGCATCGGGAGAATCGTCATTCAAATGAATGTCCCCTGGTGTACTCATGACATGCAAGGCAGCAAGGATGACGTGAGTTGGTAGGATATCTTCACCTAATAGAGGTAAGAGAGATAGATTTGTATCTTTATTGTATTCGTCGTGATAAGTTTGAACGTACACAGCTAGCCGTGGAGTTGTGGCTACATCACTGGTAGAGTTATGAGCAGCTTGTGGGACGATTGGAATCGCTTGAATTAGGGGCAGGAGTGAAACAGAAAGGAGTTTAAGAAACTTCATCTTGAAGGATGGGTGATATCATGTCAAGCCATTCGATCAATTGAGGAAAACTTCAACCTTTAAGAATACCTTCACATTTACCAAGTGATACTTTTTGCAAACATGTTGGTCTAATTCCACAGTAACATTGAAAAAGGCTCGTGAGTGACCCCTGTGACTGAAACCATTCATTGGTATCTGTACATCGCCGCCTCTATCATTGTATAAGCGCGCAAGAAAACAGAAAGAAATCCATCCCCTCCATCGATAGAATGAAATGTTAAATATGAAAATCATCAAATGACTTTCAAAGGATACTTTCTATAGATTAAATCGCACAAATGGAGATTTAAATTCAGCCATGAGGAGGGAACCAGGTGTCACCAAGTCTTCTCTTGGTCATCAAAGATTGCACCCGATATCCAAACATCGAGGCATGAACACTGAATAAAGCAAACGAACTGAACAGCATGACTGACTAAGCCGAGCTATTTTCACAAGACCCGCCGAGACTAATAAGCATGTGTGAGATGAGGTTTCATTTTCGGGGTTTGGGGCTCTATTTAAGGCCAGCGCTTGCTAGATGGATACTACCTTGCCCCTCCTTACTCTTTTGGGACAGTATGGAAAGTTCACGCTTGAGAAAAATGCACGAGAGTGCACAAACTAGTCTCATGCTTCTGTCGCATGTTGGAGATCACTCGTTGAAAAAGACTGTTTTTGATAGGGCTTTGACAGTTGCACCGCCTGATATACACCCTTAGGAAGAATGATCGCTTTTTCGGGATGTACTATCATAGAAAATGCTTGGCAAGGCGCTCATGTGTTGCCTTTATCTCCTGTTGCAACGACACTAGGGCACAAATCCAACTTAGTAGCACAAAAACGAAATAATGGAAAGATTTACCACGTTAGTTTTGGGTAAAAGATACCAGAGCAAACAGTTGCTAGAATGGGAGAACTTGAGCTTGATGAGACCAAAGTTGTCGCCAAAGAGGCTTTTATTGGGGATAGGGGAGTTGCTCATCATCAGAACTTTCAGAAACTGCAACCATCTGCTAATGTGATGGATGAATGAAGTTCATCTTGATTGCTCGAATGAACCGTAAGTTGACAATGAAAGGTGCCAACACATTTCATCTTGTCTCGCAAATACCGTCCGATAATTGCTACAACCAACAGTGACAACACAACAAAAATGGTCCCTCTCATTGTACGAGTCTGCCATGGACAACTTGGTAGATTCTCAGAAAGAATAAATTGCATGAACATGAGATTTTATTCTTTGGTAGGTGAAAATGGTGAAGAGGAAGAAAGAGAAAAAGAATGATCTCCGTAAACTACCCAACGCTAAAGCTTCGACCAAGCTTCCCGCATCACAACCACAATCGACTACGTCAAGATCTACATTAGGACTTTTATATCAAAAAGTATTTGATCCAAGACCACCTCCAATTTTTGATTTTGGACTTTTCAATCCTGCATATTTACCTTTAGTTCCTGAACACCATATCAAAATGTCAATTGATAACGCAAAAGTTTTGAAAACAGAGCCATTGGTAGGGTATTCTCTTCATGCACCCTGAATGACCAGAACCATTTGAAATACTGACTCCATAGCAGGACCCTGCCAAGGCAAAATGGACAAAACTTGTGTTGTAGGTGTTGATATGCTTAATCTAAGCTGCCAAAATCATTGCAGCTGATACATTTGCGAACATTCAGATCAACGTATCGCGATCCCCGAGGAAAAGTTCGTGATTGGGAACATGCGGAACGATCTACTCGACCGAAGTCATCTGAGATAGACGGTGTTGGAATTGTTGCCATAATACAAAAAGAGACCGGTATGCAAGGATATCTGGATCAAACTACACTTGGGCCCAAATAATGTTAATACCAGTGGAACTCAGGCCCGGAATTAGTTTTACAGAAGCAATACCGACCACCGTTAGATAAAGTAGTGATCGAAGTACCCGCCGGACTTATTGATGAGGGGGAAACTGCAGAGGAAGCAGCTTTAAGAGAATTGAAAGAAGAGACTGGTTATGTTGGAGTCTTGAGTGAGAGTACACCCATAATGTTTAATGGTAACCTCCTCTCATTTTGCTTTCACTCACATAGAAACTTCCACTAATACATGTCCTCACAGATCCAGGATTTTGCAATACGAACCTCAAAATGGTACATGTTACGATCGATATGTCTGATTCAGCCAACCAGAATCTAGTGCCCGAACTCGAAGAGAACGAATTTATTGAAGTATTCACTTTACCTCTAAAGGATTTATGGGAGACGTGTAAAAAATGGGAGAAAGAAGGATATGCGATCGATGCCCGAGTAGGAACTTTGGCTGAGGGCATTGAAGTTGCTAGGACACTGAATTTATTCTCAAAATAAGGCACGAGCAAGATGGTACGATAGATAGATGAATATAATAATAATATACGGTAAATGTAGTGTAGATACATATGTAGGAATGCTGCTTAGGTATTCAAGGTGATATCGTTGAATTCAGAAGCTATCATTTCGTGCATGTGATTCTAAAGTTTCATAGCTTTCCTGTTCGCTTCAACCCGTCATAGAGAGCCCAAGCAGTCAAAGCCTTACTGTCCCTCGCGCCCTCCTTCCACAAATCCTCCAGTTTCACTAGTTTTAGTGTAATCTTTTCACCCTCATCCCTCAACCCCGTAAGCTTCCCTGTAGTCTTCTTCAACTCCCCCCTTGAGATCTTCTTCTCATGCAAGAAGACTTGGATATACTCATCACAACCCCCGGCACTAGGAAACATTGCCCTCGGTAACACTTCTCCCTCTTTATCCGCTCCGTCACCAATGGCCAGTTCGCTCAAGTTCGTCAATTGATCTGCCGGTATTGTCCAGCCCAGCTCCTCTTCAATTTCCTTTGCAGCTGCACCTTTGAATGTTCCATTATCAACCATACCGGCTGGTAACTCAATAAATGCCAAACTCCCTGAAGCAGGTCGAGGTTGAACAGTCATCACAACCCATCTTTCCTCGTCAGGTTTCTTGGCGTCTTCGGGTTGAACAATGACCAACATTCCAACACTTGGGCCTCGGAGGAAGATATCCCCGGGCAGAGACTCGCCTGCTTCATTTATGATTTTACTGCTGATCTTGATAAAACCGATGCGCTTGCCCCAGCGGTCGAGTGATTGAATTTTAACAGAGCGGAGCTGATAGGGATCGGAATGAAAGGGGTGATCAGAGGATTTGCCTTGTAGAGCGAGAGATTCGGTTAGGCGATGATGCCATGACTGTGAAGGAAGACCATGTTAGTAAATATCTCAGAGAGGGGTAATGGAAAGAGGGGGGCAGTGATGTATACTTTAAAGGCTGGAAAATTTAATAATTCATCCTTGGTGATACCTTCACAAAGTGTAACCTCTACATTACTATCTTTGATTTGGAAAGTAGACATTCTGATAGCAGTAGTTTGGTATCCTCTCTGATGGAAGCTAGAGAATGATGGAAAGAGCCTTCTGAAGATGAGTGATGTAATTGAGGATTTCAAGGTGATTTTATGCATACGGAGTACAACCTTTGTACTTTATAGCTACCAGTAGTTTGGAGGTAAACCGATCCATTACTACGAAATCTGCCGAACATATTGAGTGGAATGTAATGATCGATGACGCCCAAGCAAGGAAAGAGGTAGGTGGTAGGTAGCCTTGCAGCCTCCCCATGCGCCACCGAGGCTGTGGCTGTGCCGCAACCTAACATGATCCTCTTCAATTGATATTTTACCTCCAAAGTACCTATAGCTATACATCATTTCCATATCATATTAATATTATTTTGTGTCTTAAAGTGCTATCACATTGATACCAGGACTCAGAATATACAGCAAGAATAGATTCAATAGTGGTTGAAAAATCATCGCCTCCCTCATACCTACACGCAATGTGAAAATTCTATAGCTTCTCAATGCATCCAACTATTGGGCCTCGCCTCTTTCATCATGAGGTCAGAGTATGGCCAAATCCAACGATGAAGGGGTGGCCTTCGCTAATATTACCTCAGTGCCATAGTTGGCTACTTGTTGGTTTAGTATTGTTGCTGCGTGGGCCAACATAAATTCCTATTATCATAGTAGTTGCTTAGCTTTTTGTCAGCCAATTTCGAGAGCTCAAGCGCGGAATCCAGATGATATGTTGTAGTTCAGGTTTGATTTAGGACCGGAGGATTGAATTTTCTGTAATTTGAGGCTGAAGCTCCCAACAAGACAGCAGTTGCTGATGTTGGTGTATCGCAATGTAGGTTTGAAGGCGGCATAGGCGGTGCAAGCTTCTCATCGTATCATAAACGCACCGTATTTCCATTCTCTTTCTTTCTTTTATTGGGTTTGGTAATTTTATTCATTTTCATCTAGCAAATTTGCTGTATTTCATAATGGCTGCATCAAAGACTTTAAAGTCACGAGCAGTATCATTGATTTTAGCCTCCCTCTTTATTCCTCTTGCATCAGCAGGTTCTAATGCAATATCTCTTCAATGGTCAAACAGAAGTTACGGCCCTGACGGACCGTGGCAAGCAGTTTCTATTGATATCGGCACACCTACTCAAGCTATTGACCTACTTCCAGGTGGGACATGGACAGCTAATATCCTAAGCACTTCAATTTGTTCTAATTCTTCAGGTTGCTCAGCATCGAAAGCTGGACTTTTTGATAGGCATGCTTCCACTTCTTATACTCAAATCAATAATACTGGTGTCATTGCCAATACTACATTCGCAAACCGGGCCGGTGCATTACCCATTTTATCAGGCGCCGCTTACATAGGACTTGATACCTTGACAATTTCCAATGGAATTGATAGTGACACTATCGATAATTTTGAACTTCTTGTCATTGAGAATGCTGTCCAAACTTTATCAAACGGAACAGCATACGCACCTCAAGTCGGAACCCTTGCTCTAGGTGCCCCAGACATTAATCAGACATTCTCTTCAAATCTTACCGGGCAGTTCCTCTCATCTGGCTTATACTCCCATGCTAGGATTCCGTCGAATTCATTTGGCTTGCATATTGGTTCTGCTTCGATGGGTATTCCTGGAAGTTTGGTACTTGGAGGATACGATCAATCTCGAGTTTTGACGCCCGTCACTACGCAAAAGGGCTACAATGGTACATTCCCCATGTCACTAGTTGACATTTCAATCGATACTATTGATGGATACTCTCCTTTGAACTTCAATACCACTAAATCTGGACTTCTTTTCAATAATTCAACTTCCGCCGCATCTAATGGCTTACTAGCGGTGAACGTCGATCCTTCAGTTCCATATCTCTACCTCCCAACATCAGCTTGCGACATACTTGCCTCTTTCCTCCCCATAACATACAACGAAAATCTAGATCTCTACCTCTGGAACACTACATCTCCACTCTACAAACCTATCATCTCATCGCCCACCTACCTCGCCTTCACATTCTCTAACCCAGACTCAGAAAATCAGAATACTCAAACCTCAATCAAAATTCCCTTCTCCCTCCTTTCACTTTCGTTAACAAACCCCCTATCTAACGCTTCTGATTCTGTTCCCTATTTCCCCTGCCAACCATCCCCACTCCCCTCCGGCTCTTGGGCTCTCGGCCGTGCGTTTCTTCAAGCTGCTTTTTTGGGAACCGTCTGGACTGGTTCATCAAATATCACTTCTTCCCAAGGCATTGCATTTTTCCTAGCTCAAGCGCCGGGTCCTGGTATCCCCGATGAGAAACTAGTTGACCTTCAACCTGAATCTACTTCCCTCAATGCCTCAACCACCATATGGAAAGACACCTGGTCGTCTCATTGGACGCCCCTCACTACCCCTCTAGATCTTTTCTCGTCATCGTTCCCCTCGTCTCAATTCTCCGCCCCATCTTCTTCATCTTCGTCTTCCAACACTGGTTTACCTACTGCACAAATGGTAGGAATCTCCGTCGGTAGCGCCACAGCTTTTATATTTCTTTTGGCAGTGATTTTCTGGATTTGCAGACGCAAAGCCAACATAGCACGAGCAAATAAAGAAAAAGAAAAGGAAGAAGCGATTTCACGCGAAATGGAAAAGAAGGAGAGGGAGAGACAGGGTATCGATCTGGGTTGGATTAAGTTGGAAGATGATCCTTAATTTATGTGATGATCTTGTATGAGGAAATATAATGGAAATACAATGGGAGTTTTAGGTTTAGCGTTGGGATTACATTACTGTCACTATAATAAAGCTGGTTTGTATTTAACTGCAGGCCAAACTTCTCAGCTGTTCAGTTGCATGAAAATAAATGTGTGGTGCTAGCCAAAATAGAACTTATGAGATGTAGAGAACTTTGTTTGCATGGTTGGCGACACGTTTCGTCCTTGAAGGAATGTAATTTTGCATTTTGTAAGACATCCATCTTCCCATCCATGTCTCACCTCTCGATATTGGATAGAGCATCCCAGCTACGAATGCTTGATACAACTTACCACGGCACAGCCTTTGGTCCCGTAACATCCCGCCACTGCCCATCCGTCTTCACTTGTTCTTTCCTCGTCTCCTTATTCTCTCTCTCAAGCCTATCCGCCTCCTCTTCAACTTTCCTTTCCCACCTCTTCCCCATCTTCGTCTTACTAAACCCCCATTTCCCTACCCACCACAAACTACTCATGCCCAAAACTCCTATGATTCCCGTAGGCGCAACAACCCATCCTATTCCCGTCGCAAAACTTCCAATGGTAGTAGCAGATAGCGCTGCGACGATAGAACCCACAACTGCGTACTTGGCATATCGGATAACACGCCAGAATATAAAGACAGTTATCGAGTGAAGTGCCCGGAGAAGAGCGCGTGTACGAAATCGAACGGGTTTTGGAGAGGTAGGGGAACTGGGAGAGACAAGGTATTGTATATTTTGGGTGATAGAAGTGAGAGCGCTGGAACTGCGGAGTTGAGCGGTTCGTTCTGTTGCAGTGAGGGACTGTGATTGAGGTGAGGTAGATGGGGGTGTGGGTTCGTCAATCGTATTACCCCTTGAAGGCGACATGCTTGCGGTTATATTGTAAAGGGGAGTTTTTTTGGTGATTGTATTTGCATTGAAAATGCAGCCTTTTGTCGTACAAATGAATTATTTGTGATACGTCATTGATGGTTAAGCTGATGGTCTGTGCGTTCGCGACTTCCTTTCTAAACCTCACCTCCAATCCCTCTTACTCTACATGCTCCTTGCGATATTAATTTCATAAGTATCAGGATCTGTTTATTGATCCACATGATAGCAATCCTCTAAAAATGCAAGCAAGACTGATCATCACGTATCAGTGCGAGTGCGGGCTGGAATATTGTTCAAATCCGAGAGTCTATAGATAGGAAGATGAGATTCCAGCTGCGATCAACGATGGAAATGGCGGGAATCTATTTGAGCTACGCGGCGTGTAGAGTACCAAGTAAAGTAAAACATGGTTGCTATCATACTGCCTGTACTTCACGGCGAATGCAGGTTAGAATAGACTGGGCGGTTGATAAATCGCCATCTACTTGCTTTTATGAGCTTTGAAGAGCGCTGCATTAACTTCCAGTTGATTCTTGCAAATATTATTGAGCTGCAATATGCAAATTTCCGGACTTTCGAACTCTGCAAAGCTCTAGACCATTGTGAAACCTACACGATCGCATACATCAGACGAAAGGGGGGCGAGAATCAAGACATGCAGAGTATTGACAAGAAGAAGGCTGATGGTAGAACTTGATGAAAGACGGACTACTTGTCCATCGAATGTTTTGACAAACAATGAGAAACGGGGCATTCTTGCTCGGCATGAGACTTCGAGTTTGAGAAACTGCATCTCTCTTTATGCTCTTGTTTTCGTGTGGTCTCATGCGAACACAGAATTGCGAGAAAACTATTCACGGATTATAGTTGGACTGCGGCCATGACTGCATTCTCGACAATACGGTTATTGGTTGACATTACGACCGTTGCAGTACGGTTCATGACACCAAGGCTACATAATCATCTTTTTGACTTTCAGGATATCCTACTTAAATCACATGCAAAGTGCAATGAAAGATATTATTCTTGTCAGAACAAAGATGTTTGAAGCCGATCATCCAAACCGCAGGCCACAGCGAAACTCAGAGCATACCAACAAAAACACAGGCTCGGACGCCTCACAAATGCCTCCAAGGAATGATTGTATACATCGACTAACCCAAAGCTCACAGCCAAGCGAACAATTTCTCTTGAGGTCCCGGGAGCGTGAAGTCGAACAAGTCCATGAGGAAAATTCGACAGGGTGCTTGTGCCTCGTTCTCGCAAAATTTCCGCATTTTCATTGGTCAAAGTATTAATTTCTGGTTCTCTATCCATGCATTTGCTAAATTTTGCAAGAAAAAAAGAACGACGGTTGGCGGGGGATCAATTTGCATACGATCTCTGGCACAAACCACGGGAGGAACTCGACGAATCACCTGTAAAAAAGGGATGTCCCTGTTGTAAAAGTTTTTGCAAATGTCCTGGGGCATGGAGCCGGTGGCTTGGATGGGGAGGCACTTGAGAATTCCAGCTGGTTATAGTACCTACTTGTACTGTTTCCAATAGCACGGTAAATCACAAAGCAACTACTTGAGATTGAGCTTGAGAGGCGGAGCGGCGGGGCGGAAAAGCGTGCGCTGCGCGGAACAGCTACGTACTTGAGGATTAGTCCAAGCAATGCCCTCGGAAGAAATTGCCAAATACACATTCAATGCTCGTCTAACTTGAGCGTCATATATTGTGTGAATACAGTTTATTCCTAAATTTAGTACTCCTGTATGATAGATTGATAGTTGATAGAAATCAACTATGTGGAAAAAGATGATCGGAGATCAACCGTCAGGTGAACGCAGTCAAAATAATTTGAAACCTGTACCCTGTGCGTTGTTGTTTGTACAGCACGCATATAATTCATATCTCATCAGGAGCCAATTAACGGCTCGGTCCCCAAGTCTTTTTATACTCTAGTCCAATCACCGTTTACCCACTGGGTCCCTTTCTTTAGCGAGTGGACCACGTATATAAACAGCATCCCCTTGCAACAAAATCGTCTAGAAAACTGAAACTGTGCAACAACAATTTCGACACAATGCATTCTTCTCAGCTGTCCAAAGTTAATCTCTCGAGTGTTAAATCATGACGCATACACTTCATAAATTCCACAATGTTCGCTCTCAGATTCAGAAGTGCGGGGAAAGAACACCTGACAGGCAAGGGATGCACGGAACTTACTCACAAGTTTTCCCCGCACATGATTTACCATCACCTTGACAATCCACTCATCCCATGGGCATGATTCCAGGAGTCAACCATTTTGCGACAGCAACGACGACGACGATATGGCAAAATCATGACACGAGGATGGGATTCAAGGAGCTCCGGAGAGCATCGCCATGTTCATCGCTACGCCAGCTATATATCGAATCTCAGCGCGGGAACTGCGGAGATAGGTATACGCCAACTTTACGTCGTGTCAAGAGTTTTTACAATCCACCTAAGGACTTTGCACTTGTTTTCGCAATGTCGTTTTTGAATCATAAAGATTCGATGGTCGAGGTAAAAATTGATACGTCAAATTTCGTGATTACAGTTGAGGTCCCATTGCGAATACATAATCCTTACCAGTCAGTGCCGATGGGGAAAATTCTAGAAAGGAGGAATTAGAGTGTCCGGAATGCGGTAGAGAGTTTATGGGGGAGTACGGAGTGGAGGATCTGGCATGGCATTTCAATAATGTGCATTGGAAGAGGAGGGTTGAGAGAAAAAAATGCTTGAGTATGGGTTAGGAAACTGATAAAACGAATCGACTATTTCAAAAAAAAATATGGAAACATGAATTCCAGAATACCTTGGATCGAGATTGGCATTGGTAATCAGCGGTTCTTTACGATTTTCACTATCCGAAACCATGACTTGTGGAGTCTACTTCCCCCCACAGGAATAGAAGGCACGAATCTTCGTCCTTCACACCTGTTATCAGTGAAAGTACTACAGAAACGCTGATTTTCCGCCTTAAATCCAATCACTCTTACACCAGCTTACGCGCATACATATTAATACATTAATATAGTTTCAATAGTTTGAGCTCCATTGTATTACTTTTGATGTCGAATATTGAACAGTGTATCTTTTCTTACACAAAAACACCGCATCTTGAGAGACTTGGATCTTGCAGAAGACGGGCCATTTACGACCATGGGCGGGAATGCCGCATCTACTCTCGCTGAAAATAAAATGCAGTATCGGTCAAATTCGGGTAAAATGATGGATGATATTGCGGGTGAGGATAGGCTAGATGAAGGTGTCTCTGAAAAACGATGTGGCCGTTCAGGCTGTCCCAATCGATTCAAAAAAGATGGTTTCAGTTGCAAGGAATGCCAGTCGAAGATGTACTGCAGTATGTATTTCCGTGATTAGCCAGACACCGAAGCTGAACATCTTTAGGTAAAGTATGCGCAGAGAGACATTGGCCGGAACACAAACTTACTTGCGAGCATCTTAACTATGTTCTGAGCATCGACATGTATCTCCAGAGACATCACGACAATCGGCCTGGTCGTATCATGTCCTGTCCAGCAAGAGCCACCTTTGAGGACTTTTACCAAGCACTCAGCCTCTCCGTGCCTTGTTTTCAACCTATATACCGCTTTGACATTTTTGACAGGAGCCAGATGAATGGTCCAATTAACCATTATCCACGACCTGAAAAGATTATCACGGGACCGAACCTGAACTCTAATATATCAGATCGTCACCATGATCTACTACCATTACTAGAAGACAGTCGACGGATATCCCTTATTGATATTTTATGCGAACGCCCATATGAACAGAGCCAAAAGATTATTCATTACACATGTCGAGACCCCAGGAGTCAGAAATACTGGCAGTATATGATCTTATTCATGGAAAGAGCACCAATCTCTCCATTTCTGATTATTTGGAGTGGTGCTTCTCGATGTATAGAGGATTATGGTAAAGGCCAAAATTGTGTGACCTTGAGACTTGCATATGAAGCCTCTGAGCCGACGGAAGAACAGAGAAAGTTGCTGTCTTGGTACGAATCAATCGAAGACTCGAAGGCTAGCAGAGAAGGAACCAACCAAGCTCTGAGCCGTATCCGAACTTCCATGCGTCCCTCCAATATCCATTCTTCCTATAACGAAGCAGAAAGCTTTCCCTAGTTGCAAATCATTATTCGATCCAGAAAAAATGGAAGAGAAGTATTCATATTTCATTTTAATTCGGCGAAAAGGGAGTGAGAGAAAGACCATGCAAGTCAAACCTGTGACGGTGATAAGTACAAGGCCTATGATGTATATACAGGATATGCAAACTTCAAAGGAGTAAGAGCATTGAGTATGAGTCAATATACACAGCTCAATAAAATCATTCCATCCCATTATTACGTCTTGCTTTAGATCTTGCCTCGAAAGTGGATTGCTGGTTGTTTGATTGTCCAATTGGTAATTCAGAATCGCCAAATCTCATCAGAGCTGTAGAGCGAGGTTGGTGAAGACGGTGCATATCCTAAAAGCGGGGTAAGATTTACTGCAAAACCACGTGGACGTCAAGTTCAAATTCAAGTTCAATCCTCCACATGGACACCTTGAAATTCTCAGATATGGTCATTGCTTTGCACTCATAAATCATCACCAACATGCTTCGAGAGGGTCTCGAGTATGATAAACGATGACAAGAAACGGAAATAATTTTGAATTGAATCTTTAACCTCTGATTTGCGAATGGGATTTCCGTTCTGAGTACCTGATCAAACTGGAATCTCGATGGTATCATTCTCAACATAGTCCTCCATTCGACTTTTCTTCCACTCTTCGATCATGTCAGAAGCTTGTTTCCAATCATCAATATTGAACTTTTTTAAATCGTAGGGTTAGTATTATCTACCAAAGGGAGATCTCGCAATCCTAATCATCTACGTTGATTGGAGGAAGAGGAAGAGAAAATATGAGGTTTCATATTTGCGAAAAAAGCAAATGATGATGTTTGATTGACCTCTGAAGTGAAAATTTAAGAATGAGAGTATCAGAGTATTGTTTGTTTGCAGAAATCAATCTTCAAGTTGGAAAATCCACCATTTATATTCACGTTCAATGTACCATCCAATGAAAGAAAAATTGATGGTAATTGCCCACGCAGCTGGACACCAGACTAGTTAGGAGTGGTGGCTGCAATTCATAGCTGAACAGTGCATAGCAAACAGAAAAGCTTAGTGTTACTCAGCCAACAAGTATTGAATGTTGTGCTACATACTGGATTCTCAAAATGAGGGGTAGGTCCAATTGAAATTAACCACATGAAGTTCTCATTACTCGAATATGTTTTTGATGAGGGGCTGGCTGATATTCTGACGAATTCTTCATGAAAGCTAAGCAAAACTCATGTTGTTCGCAATTCAACATCAATTCAGTCTTAACTGAAAATCCCATCAGAGATCGCTGCTGATAATAACTTTCTAGATTGAATTTTGATCTTTCTTCTCAGAACCTTTTCTCAGAAATTTTGATGACTTCCTCATTCAAAACATGTCTGGAAGTATATCTGATCTGCATCGATACTTGGCATTAATCAGATTCCAGAAGAAGGCTGAGATTTATGAGTATACATATGCATGACATGCATGAAATTTCTGGCAAAATGTGGGGGTTAGCTATGTTGTGAGACCCCGTAATCTATACAATCTTGATCTTATTTAAGAATGAGGGGCGCTAGTTTTCAGCTGCGGGATTCAGGATTCCGACACGACCGTCATATCGGATGTCGAATTCCTCAAACCGTGGTTGACATTGCATGATTGATATGGCGTTTGTTCATTATATGATTTCATAAGGTGACACTTAGAAATGGTAATGGGAACTCTAGCGGGATCTTTCTGCTGAACACAACGATTCAAACAGGAATAAGTTAATAGGCTATCATGCTGAATCTTCCGAACCTCCATATACCTGATTTTTCACGCGGACAACTTGATGCAGTGTACTCGCACTATATCAATTCTCCATTAATGAATATGACATTGGGGGAAGATCCTTGCTCGGAGAGAATGGCTAGGCTCCTTCTACATTCAAGTATTCATTTAATCTTTAATGCGCTAATATGCCACAGGCAGAGAGAAAGGGGGTTTGGCGGTATCTTGGTTTAGACTATTCAATGTACAATTCTAATCTGCAACTACAGCTCTGTCGGCATGCATGGTGGAACGTACACAATAGAAATTAGATTGAAATCCCAGGAGGTTGCCAAACACAAGCGCTGCACTGAAGATAAATAAATTCCCTACAAGATTCAAGCCTTCCCAATCTCCGTTCATCGAACAGGCTGGCTGCTACGGAATCCGGATTACTTTAATACAAACATCTCATTAGAGCCAGAACTCCCCCTGGAGTGTTCCCTGGCAGTAAAGAGAGATCATACGAAAAGACCAAAAAGGTTGTCAAGCAAGCACTAAGTTACAACGATATTCAATCTGTCTGCCTCGTCAGCCAAATTATCAAAGATTAGAGAGAGCGTATGCTAGACAATCCCAATGCAAACGATTGTCGTGCCTCCACCAGGGTGGTAACATGGCACACGAAAAGGTCAACAAAAGCGACTTGTCTCAGGGCGAATCATTGGACGCCGGCTTCGAACGCAGTTCATATCGAGCAAGTCTCTTTGATTTTTTTGCTTCTGGTTCCTCATGGTAAGCCCTCATATTTGGATTGGGGGGGAAACTAACAATCTTTCCAGATTTGTGGATGATGGCGGCGAAGAAGCCAACTGCCAAAATATCCATTTGTCACCAACTATCATGACGGTGAAGCGATTTTGCAGAAAGAGATCTATAAGATTCTACCAAATTTCACTTATGCAGACGGCGTACCGGAAAGATTTGAGGGAACTGCCGAGACTATTGCTGAGATCTTCACCATCACCAGGGAGTCAGACCCTGCCACTAAGCGGTTCTAGGATCACCAATGTGAGAGATAGAGATGTTATCTTCGACTCAGTGCGTATTCAACCACCGGTCCTTGCCCTTAACCACTCTAACGGCTTCCCAGTTCTCGAGGCCTATCAATCTGTATTTGACGTGTACTGTTTAGACTCGGAATCGTTAGATCGGCATGTGTACTACTTGTACCCTTACTGCCACATGTACTGAAATCTATCATTGGGACCTGAGAGTTACGATTTGAAATTTCGAAAAACGACAATGCTTGCCACTGACAAACAACAGGCAGCGTGATGTTAGCAGTATAGAGTAGCCAGGTGCCAAGACTAATCGACTAGAGAAAGGTTTGGCACGGTTTGAGATTCAAGATAGACTCCATTAAACCAATAAAAGAGTGAATATTTAATCAGATGGATCCCATATTCAATAAACTCCTGTATAAACTGGTTACAGGACGAGATACTACCCCACTGTAGTCAGATAGTCAGATAGCATACCATAGTTATTAGCTAGAAAGAGATGACGTTATGGATGAGATGATCTTATAGATATTGGACGTGCTAAGAAAGTTTATGAAAGTACAAAAATCCCGGAAGCTTTTTTGAGATTCAGGGTGGTCTTCAGAAGCAATGTATTACGAAAGATTCTCTTTGATCAAAGCTTTGAAACAAAAGTGATTTTGGGCGAATTAGAATGGGTCTCTTTTTTTGGAGGCGAGAATCAAAAGCAAGGACTCGGATACAACGAGTTCCGATTCGTTAGAAATACGAAGTGTCAAACGAGGTCTGGCCAGCAAAAATGTAAGCGACGTTCCGATCTAAGCACGTGTTGATCAGAACGTCTCGGGTTCGTTTACCGAGCTTGCTGATAGGTTGAGATAAGAAAAAGAACGGATACTTGGAGCCGCTCAGATGTGAGAAATGAAATTTGCTGGCCGAGCTGCCTAGCAAGCCCGACAAGGCGAAACTTGAAGTTTTCATTTTGATCTATGCCTTATAGCGTTGTATAACGATTGATTTTTGGAAGAGCAGAATAGCTTTACAATACCTGATCATCAGCTTTGCGAAACTGCTAAACATCATTTTAGCTGAGATTTTCTTCAAATCCGAACGAAAGAAGACTGCCATTCCAACAAAAAACAGATACGGAGTAGATGCCGCTATTCCCATTGCGCTAGTCAGTACTGAGTAAAACTTGACGATCGGACCCATGCTTACTCCGAAATCCCATCTCATTCCTCCACTTACAAACATGGGCTTGTTCCCCAACAAAGTGACTGCAGTGCTGTCTACAATCCAATTAGTATATAGACAATGCTGACAATTCCCACGTAAGGTTCTTCTCTCTTTTACCCTCTTTCTGCCAATTTAAGGTAAATCCGTCTCTTTCACGTATCCAATATCATTTTTGCCCACAAACGGAAACGGGAATCGTTTTCACGCCGTGTAAGATTTTCCTACTTGTCCTTTTCGCCGCACCCTTACGTTTTGCTCTTTTCTCGTATATCGATATTTTCAAGCCTTTTACTTGTTGAGTCAGTCCCCGGACACTCTCTATCGTCTGGCTTTCTATCATCCCATAAACTGAGGGACAACCTTCATCGACATTTTATCCTCGCACCATCGCCACCATGAATTCCCTTCTTATGCTTTTCCCTCGAAACAAACTCGATAGATTTGCGGATTGCACAGTCGACACATGTCCGATCTCTACATCCTATTATTTCTATCGTGTTTCAATCGGCGCAAATGCCGCTTTTCTCGCCCTTTTCAGCATTTCGTTCCTTGGATTTGTCTTTACATATGCATTCACCCGTCGCGCAACCGCCTTTACATTCGCCATGTGCGCCGGTGTTATACTTGAAGTAATCGGCTATGCGGGTCGTATCATGAGTTGGGAGAATCAATGGAAACAAGATGGATTTTTAATGCAGATTGTTTGCTTGACAATCGCACCGGCATTTATGGCGGGAGGGATTTATTTGTGCTTGAGAAGAATCGTATATGCTTTTGGACCGGAAAATTCAAGGATTAGCCCTGAAGCTTATACCAGAATTGTATGTTCTTGACACATTTTCACCATTCGTCTTTTCATATCAGCCTAATACTAATCATTCCATAGTTCATTCCATGTGATCTTATGTCACTTCTCCTGCAAGCTGCAGGTGGTGGTTTGGCATCCGCAGCCTCCCACTCAGGCAAATCCCCAGATACTGGTGATAACATCATGGTAGCTGGTCTCGCATTCCAGGTTGTCACGCTATTCATTTTCATAATCCTCTGCGTCGACTTTGCATTGCGCACACGTTCCCGATACCGCTCCCTCGGTAACGCCGCATTCGATCAAAATCCCGCTTTCATAACACTTCGCTCTTCTAAAGGCTTTAAGGGGTTTTTAATCGCTCTTGCCCTTGCTACGATTTGTATCTTCTGGAGATCTGTATACAGAGTCGCGGAATTGGCAGAAGGATGGACTGGGAATCTTATCAAGAAACAAAATCTATTCATCGGATTTGAAGGGGTTATGGTTATTGTGGCTTGTTTCGCGCTAAACCTGTTTAATCCTGCCATTACCTTCAAGGAAGCAATGACTGGGTTGGGTGGTTTAGGTACGAAGAAGAAGATGAAGAAGTCAGGAGAAAAGACTAGCGATGGGGTTAGTGCCAGTAACAGCGATCTTGAGGCTGTGAAGGTAGCTCCTGTTTAGATTGTGTGTGCGACTTGGCTTAGCAAAGATTTTGGAAACGGATTCACGAATGTCATCTCATAGCGTTTAATCGGCGTTTGTAGTGTTCTTTTAGATACCATATATATATAAATATATATCAGAAATATATTCATATCTATTTAGGGTTTTAGTCTTTTGGCAATGCATTGATGATTTTGCATAGCTGTGGTCAAGTCGACTGCTTGCCCCGCGCCTGTTTTTTCAACGTAATGGAGAGAGACTGACAATCCCCTTTCTGTGAGCTTTTACACCATCTAATTCACTAGCTGCATTCAAAATGAATGTATTTCACCGGCGTTTCTGTCCCTTGAGGATCCGTGAATCTTCTTGCTAGCCTATTGGCTTTTTGTTGATGTTATTCACTACGGTCAAGCAAGCTATTGATTAATTTTTCCTGCGGGGATCACAGACTTTGCTTTTCTACAGCAAAAAGCTACGACATGAAGTTGAAAACTGTCTTATGAGAGACAAATACAAGCTAACTTAAAGCTTCATCGAATCTATCTCTTGTTGCTGAGAGCTATCGTGAGATTTTTCTCCCTCAGGTAATGTATCATTCGATCAACTCGCTTTGTTTCTGATTATACTTCCAACAAAAACTTCTTTTCCGGGCGTTCCTTGATTATATTACCTGCCATAGAATGCTCTCGGCGACCCCTGAAGATATACCCATGTTGGCCGTTTCGAAAAATTCCATGATCTCAAAGGCCATCCCTTACAAAGCCATGGATTACGGCTTTCACGGATCTTGTTCCATCCCAGCAGCCGCCGTTCCAGAGACTCGCGGATCTGTTCAACGAGGTGTTTCCTGGCACAAACATCCTACTTATATGGTTCTCTTCGCCCTTCTCGGAATCGCCTTAGCATGCACTCATCATGGTTATTATTCATATCTGGATGGCAAACAAAAAACCCACAATTTTCAAAAACGGTTTTCGATAACACTTAGAAGTCTTCTTGCTTTTTCTGTGGTATCGTCTTTTCTTGCAGCAAATTGTGCTGCTTATCCACAATATCTTTGGATGTCAATACGAAAAAAAGCATTCACGTTAAGTACATTGGATAAGATGTTTGCATTGACGTCGGATCCGATAAGATTTATAAGCGTAGAAATATGCAGACATGCACCAGTTGTGACCCTTCTAGCATTGGTCTATTGGTAAATGATATGAAAATTCGTCCCAACATACAAGCTTGCTGACTACCTGTATTTAGGGCGATGAGTCTTGCGGCAATACTATCTCCTGGTACATTGATCATTGTTAATGGCCTTATGAATAAAACCTCTGACGTTTCCATGCCTGCCATCAATTGGTCTAGTGTCAACGCTTTCCAATAAGATAACGTCTCTACTTTACCTGGCACTGTTGTTATAAATATTGGCACAAAAGCTGCCGAGAGCTCCGATATTGTTCCAATTGGAGGGCCAGCGCCTAATTCATCTTACTCTATCGACATTAGAGGTCCTTATGTTCAATGTATGGCACCTAAGGATACCGAGCAAATTTACTTTGATCAATATATAGAGGATCTCGCTCAGAACAACGTCTTTACTTCGACCAGCTGGATCACGCATTACCAAAATGCGTCCAACCTTTCCGACTCTCTTGTTTCTCCTTGGCCGTCTATGGTCTATCTATCTGCTTTTGATCCGTGGATGTATCCCGATAACGACAGCTTGGGATGGTTGGCAATCGGTGAACTGGATACCTCATCTCCCGATCAATTTAATAATTGGGATGTCAGTATCAGACAAAACATATCGGCAGATCTCAGTAACACCAACAACACATTCTTTTCGGTCCAACCTAAACTATGGGGTTTGACAGCTAATGATAGTTTTTTATGCGAGCTCGTCAACGGCACAAGAAACGTCCATTTTGATTTTATCGATGGCACACAGCATATAAGCTATGGCATGCTTTATGATGTGGAAGATATCGACAAGCTATGGACGAATGTTCCAGGCTACCCTAGAGCTTTGAGCAACACGCGTCATCGTGACATCGCACCCCATATATCCCTCTATCAATCCATGATTTCAATGCTAAGTGAGAACATCACAGCTCAAATTGGTACCTCTGATATGAGCTCTTTAGCTCTGAAAACTGCGATTCGGGCTAACAAGTCGTGTTCTTTCCACTGGCTTAGCTGGTTGTGATGACTTCCTTAACGCATATTGGAATGATAATCCTCAGGTAGGAAATGCAGATTGCTTGCCGGCTGTGAGTGGAACCACAGGGTATTGCGCGTGGCTTAATGCATACACGGCTTTCAATGTTAGCCGAGCGTCCAATATCTATAATTCGATAGAATTCTTTACGAAACCTGCGTCAGCTTGTCGTAATCATAGTCTGGCGAGAGGTATAGAAGATTTGGCTGCGAATACTATCATCAGCTTATTCAGCGAGCCCAAACTTCTGTAAGTTCGCCGCGACGTCAAGTACACGCAAAATCAAATGTCTCAGAACTAACGTTTACTCTAGCAAGCAAAACGCATCCATTGTCCCAGTTATTTTCACGCATTCTATCAACGTCTTTTCGTACTCCCCGAAATATCTCTACCTCCCGTACGGTATCGCAATCTTCTTTACTTGTTTTAGTACAATCCTCGGTTTATACGCCTTCTACGCCAACGGTGTTGTTCACAGTACAGCACTATCAGCTATTATAGCCACGTCGAGGAACCCGTATCTCGATGTTCTTGCTGGTGAGAATTTGGTAGCTAACACATCATTGAGTAAGGATATTAGAAATGTAAAGTTAAGGTTGGGCATGATGAGGGGGGAAAGACCAGGGGAGGAGAGAGTCGCGTTGGGTAGACCCGAAGAAGTGAGGGAGTTGGAGAAGGGATGGCTTTGAGACCTGGGTGGGCGACTTGCGTGAAATTTGTCGTAGATGGCATTTCTTTTTATTATACCGATAGTCTTGGGCACCGAAAGTAGGTCTGTGTTTGAGATTTATCGAATGGAGTTCTTTTCCCAAACTTAGGTAAATTATAACCTGCAATGCGGCTCATTCATGTGTTACACGATAGTAAGAAGATTTGAAGGGCATGCATATTCCTCATAATAGAACAGGCAAAGATGATTGATTTCGCGATAGTTGTGTGATAACCCGAAATTTGAGCATGGCATAAGAGTCTATCACTGGCGGCTACGTCCAAATATGGAAGAGCAGAAAGATCTGATACTTTATTGCCTTTCCTAATATATCTTGAAGCAAGAGTCAATTCTTTAATTTCCAAGTCGATCTCCAAAATGATGTATCTATCAGATTGGTGCGAGCAATATAGTCAGTACCACTAATCTCACAGAAAATGATTTACTCTATGCAAATGGCTTTCACGATGGATGTATCTATATATTTTGGCTCGGTCAATTACCATTTGAAAAACAATTTTCCATGCAAATAACAACGGGAAATAATAATTGTTCTCATTAGAGGCCTTTATTTTCATTGTCCAAATTCACTTCCAGCAATCTATCAGACTAAGTTCCTGCTGATGAAGTATAATTCTGCATCTACAACGTTGTCCCATGTCTCGTGACAAATACGAATTTTTTTCGCAGATCAAGGATCACCTTAGCTTTGGCGTCAGGTTTTACCTCACAACGAGGTTGAGAGTAGGAAGTTTATTAGATATTGAAATCCTTTATGCTCACCGGATGAAATTCTAAGAGGAAGATGGATCATGCAACGCATTTCGAACAGCATAAGTCTCAATGAGTTGTATTAAGTTTTACACCTAGATAGTCAAGCAGAAGGCTATTTTAGGAGTATATAGAGTTTTCGAAATATCAAATCTGTTACAATAATTATCCATATGATCAAGACGCATGGAACATCTTTTGCCGTCCCTCTCAAATCGGTTCTTACACCACTATACGAATGTCCTCTCCATTCAGAAATGCCCCAGTAAGTTAGGGAAAGCATCGAAGGGGCTTGCTCGAAGCAATGAAGAGTTCAAGTAGGCTAGGAAAACATCGTGATGATTGGCATCGATGCGAAGGAATAAAAGGCTGACATATGAAAGTGGATTAAGTTTTTTGTCAACTGTAAAGTTTTTCTGGGGACGATTATCAAACTATCGACAATGGCAGCATGGAAAGAGAAAGATTGAAACATGGCATCAACAATTTATAGAGCTCAAGGTAAAAACGTTATATTTTTCTCTTATTTTCATGACATCAAGTTAGGCTGCCTTGCAAATACTAATCGTGCAATACATTAGGTATTGAGGGCAACCTCAAATTTGAAGAACCAGTAGCCTGTAGATAAAGAGCATATAAGAGCAATAATTATCATTTTTACTCCATAACCCCATTCATCCAAAGCAGCGATATTGATGAATTGGAATGTAGACTCCATGTCTTTCAGCCGAGGATTTCGTTGCCAAATATTACTAACAACCAAAAGACAATGCTAAGCTGATAATTTGCTGCGATAGGCTAGTTCAAGGAGGTAATGTGTTTGTATCCACCCATTTTGCTGAAGCTAGCTATGTGCAACCGCTCCCCATTGCAATAGAGGTGGTAGAGCGATATGGAAATAAGAGAAAGCGAGAAGTCTCTCATTGCTTTGTGGCTTTCTGATTTCCAGTACCAAGAATATCACCTTGTTCTTCGCTTCCATTCTTGGCCCGATCTATCCTCTCTTGAGTCGTCTTGAATAATCGTGGCACACCAGTCTTCTCGAACGGTACATCTTCTGAGACCATCTTGGCAACAGCTTTACCAGAAAGCCAAATGACTGGCATACCATGACCGTTGAACCCGGCAATTACAAACTGATTGGGTTTTCCAGGTATCTCACCAACGTGAGGGTTTGAGTCATAAGAATATCCCATAACTCCAGTCCAGATATTATCAACTTTAGCACCAGAGTCTTCCCAGCCATTATAAGTTTCCTGCATATAATTTTCGTAATAATCTTTTGCTGACTCGATGAGAACACTGTCATCAACATTATTGTACCATTGATCTTTATGAGGTCTGAATTTTGACCCAGCACCACCGACTATAATGCTGCCATCTGCTCTGGGTATAAGATATGAAAGTGTGTTATCTTCTGTTCGGTTGATATAAGTGTTGTTGAGAAGTGGTGCCGTCTTGCCTTCAGGTACAGTTATACGGCAACAGATACCTTTGCAAGGAACTATGTTTTGATCGTATTCAGGAAGAAGCGCAGAGATGTATGCATTGTTGGCGTATATTATCTTGCTAGCATGTGTGTTTCCTCTGCTTGTCGCAACGGTAAAGCCTCCACTGGCTACACTGGTTACACTAGTCACTGGTGTGTTGGTCTGCAAGTTAACTTTTCCGGTTGGCAAAATTATTTCGAGAAGCCCCAGAATAAACTTATAAGGCCACATACTCCCAGCTGTGTATGAAGCACAAGCCTTCGCACCCTTAACTCCACAAATCTAAGAGAAAGTTAGAGATGGGTCACTCTGATGTATTGGAATCTCACTCACGCCCTCAACTTCTTTTCCGGTATGGAAGATGACATCATCCATATACTCAAAGTCGTTCTTGACCATTTGATCATATACTGCCTTGGCTTTCTTTGCCATCTCCTCATTACACCATACATCAACTGTGCGGCAGAGGCTAAAGTCACAATCTATCTTCTCTTTTTCGATAAGCTTCTTGATCTCCTTGACGTGAGCAATCTCAAACTCGGCAATCTCAGCTCCTGCACGTGGTCCACCTCGCTCAACATAAGTTGGAATATGACCATACAAATCTGGCCTCAAATGTCCTCCATTTCTACCAGTTGCACCCGAACATGCACCTCGTGCCTCTATAATAGTGATTGACTTGATCGAGTCACCGGCCTCCTTAACTAGATGATATGCGGTGCTAACCCCGGCGTACCCCGCACCGACAATGGCTACATCGCTGTGCGTTGGGAGATCTTCTGTAGAGCGGTGGTCATGTAACCTATGCTTTTCAGATTGCCAGAAACACTCTCCTGGGTTAGAAACTGGTAGACACTTAGATACTATCGAGTTTGATTTTGATGGTGCGACCGAAATCGAGAGGTCATTCAAGGTTTCGGAAACAGTCTTCATGGTCTCGATAGTGTTCTCCTTCTCTCAGCTTTGACTTGGGGGCTCGGATGGAACACCGGTATGCGTATATATAATTTTAAGTAAATCTTTCGATCGTTAAGCGGTATGATAATGTTTTATATTTTTGCTGTGTGTGATTCCGCAAGTGGTTGTCCAAATACTATATAAAAGTGAATTACCGGGACACTTTCTAGTGACACGATGGTAATTGACTGATTGTGAAAGTGATTGACAGCTTGCAGTACCCGTAAATGCAAGCTTATAGTACTAAGAGGGTGTCTTAATAATGAAACGTGACATCTCCTGATCTCTCCACGTTCTTATCAGATGTCAGCATCGCTCGGCCCCTGTCCTTCAACCTTGCCATTGGGCCCTTCACAATCTTATCATCCCACTATAACCAACGATATTTATCTAGGCAATTTCATTTAGTCAACGCGGTTTTCAACCTTCTCGAATCGGGTAGATTTCAAGTTCTTTGACATGGTGGTATTATGATGTGATGCCTTTCATATCTAAATCAGACGTTTCAAGCATACGAAGTACGGCCAAGAATTCCGCGGCAATTGCAGACGGAGATTGTAACCTTACAAGCTTATGTAGTAAAGTGGCGCAAATGAACTAGCCGCCCCAATTTTGAATCCTTCCGCCGTCCCGAATGGGGATTCCGAAAAAGTACTTCTGTATCTGGTTCTTTTGTCCAAATGAACTCAAATACTACCCAGCTACCCTACAGGCAGTATATTCCAGATCTGACTGAGCTCAAAGCCATTGGTCAATCGCAAGGACGAGCATTACGACGTATCCCACAGCATTTACTTGTTTCTAACGGCTGTTCTATAATCTGACCTAGCAAACAGATTGGAACAAGATCATCTTCACCTGTGATTCATCACCTCGTAAAAGAAATGGACAGGCTACTATTTTGCTAAATGGCCATTTGGATGAACTACGAGGAGGCCATGCTTTAAGGTGTGAAGGAGGTGATTCCAACGTGAGTTTTATATAATGTCAAAAATCCAACATACCATTCAATACAAAACATCATCTGAAGTATGTAAAGAGTGCGTACAAGGATTTCATGCTTATCAGCTCTGCGGGTAGAGGACCCTGGAAGCTTAGCACGCAATTAGACAATTCATAGCTTCAACAAGTTGGTTTGGCTGAAGGGATGTTATCATTACGTGGGTTAAGCAGGGGACAGAGCCGGAGGGTCATTTGGGTATCGTTGACTTAGCGGGGTAGCATCCAATTGCGGATATACCCTTTCTCGGTCATGGCAAAAGCTATGATGGAAACTGCTTCGAGGTGAGCGCGAGATAACTGTTATCATGATAAGAAACTTCTACTTGATATACTTTATCTACAGCTAGCTCAATGTGGCTTTCCTACCAATGCAGGGTAGAGAATTCCGTGATCTGAAAGAGTACAAGATAGACCGAAAATACGCTGTGTCAAGATCTATCATTCTTACACAGGAGAAATTGTCTTTCATTCCTCTTGATTGATATTGGTATCTTTTAAATATGTCCTTAGATCATGAATCAGAAGACTACGAGCTCGGCCATGGAGGCTCCAAAAACGAGGCTATCGGACAAGGGGATATCGAAGTTCGCTCTGGTCAATATGAGAACGCAACGGCAGTAGAATTTCAGGAGGTGAAAGCTTTTAAGCAAGGCCTTCATCAACGCCATATCCAGATGATCGCGCTTGCCGGAACAATTGGTACTGGTCTATTCCTTGGTTCTGGCCGAGCAATTGTAAGATCCGGTCCTCTGGGCGCATT